TCACAACTCTCAAGCTGTACCGCCATAGACTGCCCTGGCCACATCGCAGCCCAAACGCCCCCCCACCACCACCTCCACCCTTGCTGCCCGTGTAGGCCCCCCCCCCCCCACACACACCACGTGATGATAGCGCCCCCTCGTGGTCTCTGTGGGGCCCCAAGCAGCGCCCCCCCCCCCCTGCCTCCCCCCGCAGAAGAGGCTTACTGAGTCCCATGGCTCCTGTTCAGGGGGTCCTGCTCACGTGAGTTGTTCGGCAATTTCCATGGTTTGATTTTTGGTTTCGTGTGGAAGGAATTCAGAGTAGCCAGAGAAAGCCAACCAAAGCTCCGCACAGATGGATTCACGAGCCCACATGCCGCGCTGCCATATCCTGGTCACCTCGCACACAGCCCAGTGGAGAGCAACTCCGATACTGTATCTGGAACACATTCCTGATGTGTTCCACGTCTACCGTAGACTCGACCGCTGCTCGGGTCACCAGCCTCACGTTAGAGACAACCGCTTGTTCACAGCGGCAGGCTGAAGCGGACACGTGGTCACCCGGGTGATGTCACGCGATTCTCAGGACAAAAGCCACAAAATCCACGTCTGGGGAGGTGCACGGGGGGCAGACCTGCCGAGACATCGGGCCTGGCAGCTGGGGACACGCCTGGTTGGGTTTACCATCCTCGATTCATGCACAAAACGCTTCCCGTTTCACCAGCCTCGATGTATATGCGGGGGCCACAAGTCAAGACCCAGAGCAACGTGAAATGAAACGCATTTGTGAAATTAATAATAAAAAAATATTGTTAATCATAATTCATTTTTGGAGTTTTGAGCCTAAACCCAAAAATCAGCTATTAATCATATTGGCTGCGAAACCCTACGGGTCAAAACATGATAATCGATGATTGATCATATGATTACAGAGCACCGTACTGTATAACGTGTATCAGAGCGAAATGTGGTCAGATTCATGCCGCTGCTGTTCGCCAACATTGGGAGGTGGTGGGGCGGGGGTCAGGTGGACGCGTTGGCAATCAGTGGGAGGAGAGCGAGGGGGGAGAGCGAGGAGATGAGAGAGTGTAGAGCGAGCGTGGAACGAGAGAGTTGGAGGGAGAGCGAAGAGGGAGAGAGAGAGATAGGTGGGAGTGTAGGGAGAGTGTGCGGAGGGAGATGTCAGCGAGACAGTGCACGGGCAGAGAGAGAGTGGCGTGCAGGGCGAGCGGGGCTCGCGATACGGGAGAGTGATGCGAGCGAGGGGAGAGCGCGCGAGAGGGAATGGGGAGAGCGCAGGGATGGGGGGGGGGGTGACCCGTTCACTTATCGCTTCCTGCCGAATGACTCACCACAACCACCATCCCCCCTCGCTCCTCGAACCCCGCGCGGGGAAACCAGCCACTGCAATTATACTGCGACATTAAAACACGCGGGCCCCACCGCTCAGGTCTCGGCACAGACCCAGCAGGTGCCACGGGTTGGCTGACTGAGATGACTGGTAGAAGGACCAGCTGTACCCCCTACTATGCCAACTTGCTCCATTTTATCCACCTGGCGCTCCGCTAGTTGTTGTGAGCTTCACTCCTCTGCCCTCCGTTGTTGTTGGAGAGCGACTGCCTCTAACTGCTCAGGAGCAGCGTCTTTCACTAGCCTCTTCCATATAGGGCGATCTTGACACCGCTGGTACCAGTCGTCGGCAAGTCCACTCAGCTCCACGTCCTCCTGTACCACATCACTCCATCTCTTCTCTAGCCCAGTGCCGCGCCCGTTTAGCCCCCCTCGATCCGGCAAAACAGAAGCTGCCTGGGCATGCGGTGGCTGTGCATGCGGGCTACATGACACAGCCAACGCAGCCTTGCCTGCCGGAGCCCACTGATGGGAATGTGTCCAATCTTTCAAGGATTTGTGAGCTCCTCACACAATCCAGCCTGGTTAAACCCAGGATGGATCGTAGGCATGCCATTCTGAATGTTTCTAACCATTAGAGAGGTCCACGTGTCGCAAGCATAAAGGGAGGGCATGACTGTGGCCGAGAAGACCTGCGCAGAGCGACAGACCAGGTAGCTCCCATAGAGCGTTGCACAGCTGATGAAAAGATAAAAATCGGAGATGATCATAATCACACTGCCCAGGTATGGGAAACTATCCACTCTCTTCACAACCGCTCCATCACCAATTGGGAGCTGAGCGGTGGAGTGTATGATGGCACAAAATACCCAGGCAGGTGCTTAGTTTTGGTGGGACTGATGATAAGACCCCATCTCTTAGTTGCACTCCAGGTTCAGCAGTAGCGCCTCCAACTCCTCCGAGTAAGCAGCAATCACCAGATCATCAGCATACGTAACATTGTTGACCAATAGGGAGCCATCCCTCGACTCGGGCATCGATCAGCCTCCCGTTGTCAACCACAACCACCGCTGGAAACTTGAGATCTCAAAACATCAAAGATCCACCCCTACCCCTCCCTCCTCCAGCTGCCTTGAACCAACGCCTGGGGAACGTGCTGTGGACGAGAATCTCATTCAGGCCAGAACGGCACGCCAGGGGGTGGTACCAACACCACCCCCTCGGCCGCCTTCGTCTCCCAAATGCTGATCTTTAAGGCTGAGTCAACCTACGGGAGGCCGAGGACCGGTTCACGTATTCGCCACTGGTTTTGGTCGTGAGTGGGGATGGGATTCGGGTCGCCTGGTTACGTGGACGCAGTGAGATAACCGCTGCACCACCGCTCCCCCGCATCATCAACAACCGCCGTTTGCCACCAAGTCGTGGTGACGGCGCTTGTGCCAGGCTAGGTGCACCTTGAAGCCACGTGAAGTGTCGCCGGCAGGATAACGGGGCAGACCCAGGTGCCGTGGCTTGACGGACCCGAGATGACTGTCAAGATGCACCACTGTGCCAACATCAGCAGCACCACCACCATCACAATCACCACCACCACCACATTGCGGACAGCAAGCTTAGAACGTAAAACCGGGTTTATTGAAAACAACAAAAAGTTTAAACGTGTTCATGTCACCTTAGATTGTAGCGGTGTTTAATGCGGCGCGTGCCTCCATCACACACACACACTCTCTCTCTCTCTGGACGTTGACCTCTCCACGGGGTGTGCCGAATGCAGCGAACGCGAACAGAAGCATTCCAGGGGCGATGAGAATTGAGCAACATCGACTTGGATTCCTCGCTGGGTATCAACACCATCATCATGATCGTCTTCTTCGTCATCGCGGTCTCTCGCCGTGACGGGATGCGCGCGCGTGTGGCGAGAAGACAACTCACGTCGCCAGCATCACCATCGAGGGTTAATTTTAGCTGGAGCTGTCCGGGGCCGAGCTCAGGAAAATTACATGCCCCCCCCCTCTCCGCCATCCACCCCCTCCTCCTTTCCGCTGTCAGAGGGAGGGGGTGCAACCAACATTCCATAAGAAATTAAGCCGTGGGTCATGTACAATAGGCGACGTTTCGAGCAGTGGCCCTTCTTCATAGTGAAAGCCAAAGCGAGCAGTGAGACGGTGCTCAACTCGTTGACAACCCCTTGAGCCAGTGGTGACAATTCCACATTCTTATGGCGGGGGGGGGGGAGTTTCTGCCAAAGAAAAACCGCTGTCGACTTTCCCCCTGAAATGATACAGGATTTTATAGACCCCGGAAAGATGATGGCCCGAGTTAACTGTCAACCCCCCCCCCCCCCCCCCACAAACGAGGATTTGAAACTCGCAACCTGCTGACTGCGAGGCCCGCTCTGCCCTAGCGCCGAGCGGGATTCACAGTGGGAGGAGCGGGGGGGGGGGGGGGTCACCACTCACAACCCCATCGCGGCCCCAGGGCTTCTTGCGAAGCGACGCCGGGCATCAGAGCCGCCAGGTGAATTGCGGCCCGCAACCATGACGACACAGAGCTAGACTATAATGAGACACACGCACGCGCATGCACCCCCCAAACCCCTCGCACGAATAAAAGACAACAAACCAAGACATAACAGCATTTAAATCGCCATGTTTGTACACATCAACTGAACTGTTGCTCGCTGTGGAAGCGGGGCGTGGAGGCTGGCGACACGACAGGGCGGGGATTCCGCGGTGGAACAGCTCATGGGTTAGAGATGCCCATCGCTTGGTGGTGCTGCTGCATCACTCGCGGGCCGTCACACAGCCGCCTATTGGAAGCTTCGTTCAGCGACAACAGACGACTTTCACGGTGACTTGGTGGAGCGTGCGTGCGACAAGCCCTCGGCTGGACAATGCCAGTCGATAAGTTGACCCTCAGGGTCCACGTTGCATCGCATCGGGCAAGGGCTGCCGGAGCCAATAATGCCGAGTGTTCTGACTGAACGTGAATTGGTAACGCAAACCCCCTACGATGCCACACGATGTGGTTTTGGGCACGTCCTCGGTGCGAGCAATTTTGTTGTTGAAGTTCTGGAAAGGAGGTTAGGGATGTCGGTTGGCTGGGTAAAGATGACAAATTAGAAGACGCTGCTGCTGCTTGCCGACGTGCCGGTGAAAAACGACTTAAGATCGGACCAGGGTGGAAGGTGGGAACTCGAGCTAAAGACCGGGCACTCGGGAGGAGGAAATAATATCTGAAACCCGTAGCCACCACAATGGCAAAACAAAACCTACCCACTCACAAATCGAAAAGCGACCCAATTCAGAACCTCATCGATTGCACCGTAAGGAGCGCCAATTGTCACAGCGTCCAGTTCTCGTGACGCCACCAGACTAAACATCACCTTCCATTGTTTTATGGTGGTGGGAGGGAACGGGGAATCCTTGACGAAGCTGACAGGTGGCGTGTGACGGCCCGGGTGTGTCGCTACAAGAGAGAAGCCGATTGCCGTTCGGGCGTCTTCATCGGAGCCAAAACGGTGCGTGGTGTTGATACCTATCTCACGCAGCCAACTTCAACCCTCAGCCGGCACGCAGCGCACTGCGCCCACCACACGAGGGGGCTCGTCAGCCAAACAGGGGAGGGCCAAGGGGGGGGGCGGGTGTGGGGGCGGACACGCAAAACGGAAGTCGTAGAGCCATTCATTTATTCCACGTTATACCAGAGCGTAGTTTTCATACGGCGCGCGCGCGCACACACACACCCAGTAGTAGACTATGCGTCTGTCCGGCCACGAGGCCAACATTATCGTTTCGTTTTGCTTTACAAAGTGGGATTTCCTCTCCATCTCACACGCACACACAACTGGTTACCTTAAAATGGGATGGGCGTACAGGCAGGGGAGGTGGTGGTGGTCGCTGTTGGGCGAGGATGGGGGTGGTGCAGGGGAGCGAGGTGGTGGTGGTGGGGGGACCCGGATTGGTCGTGGTACCCGCCCCCCCACACCGAGACGCGACTTTCCACACCACCCCGCCGGCATCTCGCGCACGCGCCGGCCGCTCTCGCGAGGGCACAGGCGACCGAGCGCGCACTCGGGGCTACCTCGACACGGCCCCGTCACAGCGACATCGTCACGCTCCCACACACACCCACCTCTTCACCGCCCCCCCCTCCTCCTCGTCCGAACAAGCAAAGCATTGCCAGTGCTTGGCAGCGGTGCTGCGAAGGAGGCACGCACGGCCAGGGCTTAATCGCTCTCGACATGGAATTGGTGGCACGTGGCTCGAGTGCCGGGCAGGGAGTTATTTTGGCCGCGGCACGAAACTTGCGGAGCCGACACATCCGCAGCAAGAGTCTACCGTGGACGTGGTGTGCCGGGAGCGGAAAATATATCCCGGCTCGCTGGCGATACCGGTGCAGCTGGCGCGCGAGTTCGGACGGGACCCGCGCGGCCATTGCGAGCGTAACGCTCCCTCTGGATGTGGTGTGCCGGGGGCGTCAATATTTAATCAGAAGGCGCGGCTGCAATTAAGCCCTGGACATGGACGTACGCGGAACACACACACACACAAATGTACGCACGCGGGAACACGCACAGTTTAGAGTTTGCCGTTCTTCCCCCACACCTTCGATTAGCACGGTTGGCCAAGTACAGTGCGAAAGAAGTTCAACATACAGACATGCACACGGGAACATACCCACGGATGCGCGCACGCACGCGGGAACACGCGCGACCACCGGCAGTTGAAGGTTGTGGCAGGGGACCGACGAGCAAACTCCCTCCTCCACCTCGGGCAAGAATGACGAGGCCGAGAAACGGACTCCGCCGGCAAGGCCTCCCCCACCACCACGTGCAGCAGGGGTCGCCGCTGCGTGGAGACGGGACGCCACCGAGACGCCGCTACCCTCCTGCGCGGCAATCGCCGGCCAACAAAAACAACAACACAACGGGCCTGGAACGATTTCACATATCCCCCTGCGAACTGTCACGATTCGCGGAAGGGGAAGTGGGGGGCGGGCGATGGGAGTCGCGGCGACTATTCGATTTTAAGGGTCAACCAATCGCGTTGAGTCGTCAAGTTCGGCGTCGTACTGCGTCCGGCGCCCACGAGCGAGCGCCCCCCCCACCCCCCCGCAACGTCGCCAACGATCGCGGCGCCTTCACGCCGCCCCATTTGAAATCGCCGAATCGAAGCGGCGCTTACAGGCCCCGGTGTACAATCGGGGGGGGGGGGGGGTGGTTCTCTTCTGTTTGTTTAAATTGTATTCATCCCTGGGGACCGCGTTAGAAATCCACTCGTCGCTCCCTGCACGAGGTAGGGTGGGGGGAGGCGGCTGGCTGTGGGGGAGGGGGGGGGGGGTCTGGGTGCAGCCAGGGCTTAATTTCTCACCGAATACCTGACGAGTCACTGCTAGAATGGAGCCGTAGCCACAGCGAGAGGGTACACCCTCTCTGGACGTGGTGTGCCGGGCACGGAAATACTTTCTAGGTCGCCGCTCGACTGGATTAAATGGCACGTGACTCTGAGCCGCAGCCGTAGCCAGGCGCGGTGGTGCTCTGGACTCGGTGTGCCGGAGACTGAACCGGCTGAAACTAAGCCCTGCGCGCAACGGAAACGCGTGCCGCGGCAAAAATGCTGGACTCGTATTTTACTTCGATCGGCTTTTCGGCAAGAACGCCGCTCACCACGCACCCTCCCCCCCCCACCACGAACCCACGGATGCGATCGTACGGAGTCAACATCGACCCGTGGCGACACTTGGGGGACTCATGCTGCTGCTTCCAGTGCCCAAAAGCCGACACAGACCTCGCTGGATTGGATTCACGGGTGGGGGGGAGGGGGGGACACACTGTGGGTTGCTGCTGCGCGGTGGTCCGCTCCGGTGTGCCGCCGAGCCAGGCCGGATTTTGCCCGAGGGCCTAGGCGCACAATGCATAACTCCGTCTGGCGCTCCGATCGACCGCATGCTTTAAGGTCACTCGTCAACAATCATCATCATCATTATTATTGTCGTCGCTATGCACATCGAGTACTGTGACGAGTAATGATAAACAGGAATAAAAATATTGACAATGAAATAATAATAATAACGGTGGCGACGCCGTAACCGATGGTATTACCGGAGCCTTTTCCTTCCGTTCACACATCGCGGACACGTCCCACGCGCGGTTTAAGTACAAATCAACGGTAGGAGAGGGCGGATGTGCGAGTAGCAGACACCGATGGGTAGCTTGAGAGGGAGGGGAAGGCGGGGGTCGTCGGCGGCCGGGTTCAGGGGTCACAGGGCAGGGGTTCGGGAGGGTTGCAGGGGGAGGAGGGAAGGAGTCGCAGTGGGAGGGGAGGGGGGGCAGCAGCGATGGCCCCGCTCAGGCGCAGCACTTGCTCTTGATGCCCATCACGCCGCTCGAGCTGGTCGTGTCTACAACGTCCTTCCTCTCCGGCTCCTTCACTGGCGTCTGTGAGCGGGACACGGCGAGACAGAGACAGTGAGTGAGTGACACAGAGACAGTGAACAGTGAGTGAGTGACAAAGAGACAGTGAGACAGTGAGCGGTGAGTGACACAGCGAGCGGTGAGCGAGACAGCGAGTGGTGAGTGAGACAGTGAGCGGTGAGTGACACAGCGAGCAGTGAGTGAGACAGCGAGCGGTGAGTGACACAGTGAGTGGTGAGTGAGACAGCGAGCGGTGAGTGAGACAGCGAGCGGTGAGTGAGACAGCGAGCGGTGAGTGAGACAGTGAGTGGTGAGTGAGACAGTGAGCGGTGAGTGAGACAGCGAGCGGTGAGTGACACAGTGAGTGGTGAGTGAGACAGCGAGCGGTGAGTGAGACAGCGAGCGGTGAGTGAGACAGCGAGCGGTGAGTGACACAGTGAGTGGTGAGTGAGACAGTGAGCGGTGAGTGACACAGCGAGCGGTGAGTGAGACAGCGAGCGGTGAGTGACACAGTGAGTGGTGAGTGAGACAGTGAGCGGTGAGTGACACAGCGAGCGGTGAGTGACACAGTGAGTGGTGAGTGAGACAGTGAGTGGTGAGTGAGACAGCGAGTGGTGAGTGAGACAGTGAGTGGTGAGTGAGACAGCGAGTGGTGAGTGAGACAGTGAGTGGTGAGTGAGACAGCGAGTGGTGAGTGAGACAGTGAGCGGTGAGTGACACAGTGAGTGGTGAGTGAGACAGTGAGTGGTGAGTGAGACAGTGAGTGGTGAGTGAGACAGTGAGTGGTGAGTGAGACAGTGAGTGGTGAGTGAGACAGTGAGTGGTGAGTGAGACAGTGAGTGGTGAGTGAGACAGCGAGTGGTGAGTGAGACAGTGAGTGGTGAGTGAGACAGCGAGTGGTGAGTGAGACAGTGAGTGGTGAGTGAGACAGTGAGTGGTGAGTGAGACAGCGAGTGGTGAGTGAGACAGTGAGTGGTGAGTGAGACAGTGAGTGAGACAGTGAGTGGTGAGTGAGACAGCGAGTGGTGAGTGAGACAGTGAGTGGTGAGTGAGACAGTGAGTGGTGAGTGAGACAGCGAGTGGTGAGTGAGACGGAGTGGTGAGTGAGACAGTGAGTGGTGAGACAGTGAGTGGTGAGTGAGACAGTGAGTGGTGAGTGAGACAGTGAGTGGTGAGTGAGACAGTGAGTGGTGAGTGAGACAGTGAGTGGTGAGTGAGACAGTGAGTGGTGAGTGAGACAGTGAGTGGTGAGTGAGACAGTGAGTGGTGAGTGAGACAGTGAGTGGTGAGTGAGACAGTGAGTGGTGAGTGAGACAGTGAGTGGTGAGTGAGACAGTGAGTGGTGAGTGAGACAGTGAGTGGTGAGTGAGACAGTGAGTGGTGAGTGAGACAGTGAGTGGTGAGTGAGACAGTGAGTGGTGAGTGAGACAGTGAGTGGTGAGTGAGACAGCGAGTGGTGAGTGAGACAGCGAGTGGTGAGTGAGACAGTGAGTGGTGAGTGAGACAGTGAGTGGTGAGTGAGACAGTGAGTGGTGAGTGAGACAGTGAGTGGTGAGTGAGACAGTGAGTGGTGAGTGAGACAGTGAGTGGTGAGTGAAGTGAGTGGTGAGTGAGACAGCGAGTGGTGAGTGAGACAGTGAGTGGTGAGTGAGACAGTGAGTGGTGAGTGAGACGGTGAGTGGTGAGTGAGACAGCGAGTGGTGAGTGAGACAGTGAGTGGTGAGTGAGACAGTGAGTGGTGAGTGAGACAGTGAGTGAGACAGTGAGTGGTGAGTGAGACAGCGAGTGGTGAGTGAGACAGTGAGTGGTGAGTGAGACAGCGAGTGGTGAGTGAGACAGTGAGTGGTGAGTGAGACAGTGAGCGGTGAGTGAGACAGCGAGTGGTGAGTGAGACAGTGAGTGGTGAGTGAGACAGTGAGCGGTGAGTGAGACAGTGAGCGGTGAGTGAGACAGTGAGTGGTGAGTGAGACAGCGAGTGGTGAGTGAGACAGTGAGTGGTGAGTGAGACAGTGAGTGGTGAGTGAGACAGTGAGTGGTGAGTGAGACAGTGAGTGGTGAGTGAGACAGTGAGTGGTGAGTGAGACAGCGAGTGGTGAGTGAGACAGCGAGTGGTGAGTGAGACAGCGAGTGGTGAGTGAGACAGTGAGTGGTGAGTGAGACAGTGAGTGGTGAGTGAGACAGCGAGTGGTGAGTGAGACAGTGAGTGGTGAGTGAGACAGCGAGTGGTGAGTGAGACAGCGAGTGGTGAGTGAGACAGTGAGTGGTGAGTGAGACAGTGAGCGGTGAGTGAGACAGTGAGCGGTGAGTGAGACAGCGAGTGGTGAGTGAGACAGCGAGTGGTGAGTGAGACAGTGAGTGGTGAGTGAGACAGTGAGTGGTGAGTGAGACAGTGAGTGGTGAGTGAGACAGTGAGTGGTGAGTGAGACAGCGAGTGGTGAGTGAGACAGTGAGTGGTGAGTGAGACAGCGAGTGGTGAGTGAGACAGTGAGTGGTGAGTGAGACAGCGAGTGGTGAGTGAGACAGCGAGTGGTGAGTGAGACAGCGAGTGGTGAGTGAGACAGTGAGTGGTGAGTGAGACAGTGAGTGGTGAGTGAGACAGTGAGTGGTGAGTGAGACAGCGAGTGGTGAGTGAGACAGTGAGCGGTGAGTGAGACAGTGAGTGGTGAGTGAGACAGTGAGCGGTGAGTGAGACAGTGAGTGAGACAGTGAGTGGTGAGTGAGACAGCGAGCGGTGAGTGACACAGTGAGTGGTGAGTGAGACAGCGAGTGGTGAGTGAGACAGTGAGTGGTGAGTGAGACAGCGAGTGGTGAGTGAGACAGCGAGTGGTGAGTGAGACAGTGAGTGGTGAGTGAGACAGTGAGTGGTGAGTGAGACAGTGAGTGGTGAGTGAGACAGTGAGTGGTGAGTGAGACAGCGAGTGGTGAGTGAGACAGTGAGTGGTGAGTGAGACAGTGAGCGGTGAGTGACACAGCGAGTGGTGAGTGAGACAGTGAGTGGTGAGTGAGACAGCGAGTGGTGAGTGAGACAGTGAGCGGTGAGTGAGACAGTGAGTGGTGAGTGAGACAGTGAGTGGTGAGTGAGACAGCGAGTGGTGAGTGAGACAGTGAGTGGTGAGTGAGACAGCGAGCGGTGAGTGAGACAGTGAGTGGTGAGTGAGACAGTGAGTGGTGAGTGAGACAGCGAGTGGTGAGTGAGACAGTGAGTGGTGAGTGAGACAGTGAGTGGTGAGTGACACAGTGAGTGGTGAGTGAGACAGTGAGTGGTGAGTGAGACAGCGAGTGGTGAGTGAGACAGTGAGTGGTGAGTGAGACAGCGAGTGGTGAGTGAGACAGTGAGTGGTGAGTGAGACAGTGAGCGGTGAGTGAGACAGTGAGTGGTGAGTGAGACAGTGAGTGGTGAGTGAGACAGTGAGTGGTGAGTGAGACAGCGAGTGGTGAGTGAGACAGCGAGTGGTGAGTGAGACAGTGAGTGGTGAGTGAGACAGTGAGTGGTGAGTGAGACAGCGAGTGGTGAGTGAGACAGTGAGTGGTGAGTGAGACAGCGAGTGGTGAGTGAGACAGTGAGTGGTGAGTGAGACAGCGAGTGGTGAGTGAGACAGCGAGTGGTGAGTGAGACAGTGAGTGGTGAGTGAGACAGTGAGTGGTGAGTGAGACAGCGAGTGGTGAGTGAGACAGTGAGTGGTGAGTGAGACAGCGAGTGGTGAGTGAGACAGTGAGTGGTGAGTGAGACAGTGAGTGGTGAGTGAGACAGTGAGCGGTGAGTGACACAGTGAGTGAGACAGTGAGCGGTGAGTGACAGTGAGATAGTGAGACAGTGAGTGAGACAGCGAGTGAGACAGTGAGTGAGACAGTGAGCATGCGAGTCCAGCGACCGTCACCTTTTTGAGGATGTCCTCGGCGAGTGTGAAGAAGGCCTTCTCGATGTTGATGTTGGACTTTGCGCTCGTCTCAAAAAATCTGATGTTGTGCTCCCTCGAGATCTGCGAATGGAACACGCGAGCGGGTGGGCGATGAAGGGTGCGATCGGGGGGGGGGGGGGAAATGGCGATGGGCTTACTCGTCGCGAGCTGTCGGACCGCCTGTGGTTGCAGGCGTCGCCGTGAACCCTTTACGCACAACGCATTGGTAGCATCGTCGTCGTCAACCGTGGCCTATCAACCGCTGGATCAAGGCCTTCAAAAGCCGTCGCCATCCCTCGGTCACACGACAATCCATCTGACGCCGGCACACCCACTTGATGCACCGTTCCATGTGTGCGACTAGGAACCTCTCTCTGGGGCGTTCCGTCAATGAGATGTGACCGTCGTTAGCGGCTGACAAACATTGACGTTATGAATATATATATTTCTCTAAATCCAGTCATTTACAGAATTATCACTTTCCATAACCCGTGTGGTTGTTGCGGTTGTTGTTGTAGTTCAAGTTGTGGGAGTGAAGAGGCTTGTACCTGCTCGCCCTTCTCCTTGGGCACCACGCGCTTGTCCTCCATGTCGCACTTGTTCCCCAGCAGCATCCGCTCCACGTCCTCGCTCGCGTGCTGCTCACATGGGGGTGGAGGAGGGAGGTCAACCAGCCTCATCGGCAACAACTCTCCCCCCAAGACATCTCCTTGCCCAATGACTCGCACTCCCTACATCTTGCTGCCTAACGACTCGCACACTCTACATCTCTCTATGGACTCATTTATCCGGCCACGTGGTTCACCTGTAATACGAGTGACTCGCAATCGGAAAGGTGCGAGTTCAAATCCTTGTTCAGGGTGGTGGGAGGGGATTAACTCAGCCCATCATCCCTCCCTCAGAGGTGAATAAAATAGGTATCCAATTTGTGGGGAAGTCAAGAGTCGTATGGGTAGACTCGCTCCCCGCCGCTATATCAACGTGGCATGGCATGTCCACACCACTGACTGGCGGCCGCACACAGGAGATGTGCACCAGAAGGAACTCGCCCGTGGCTTGTGTTATCACCAGGGTGTCCGCGGGGCTCGCACCGCCAACAGCGCTGCCGCAGGGGCTGTGTTAGCGCGACCGACCGTCTTTATCGTAAAACGAGGCGAGAGAAGCCAAAGTAACAACAAAAAAACTAAGCTTCTGTTGCAAGGAAAGAAAATTACATGTTAACTGCACAAACAGGTTCCTCATTGCAAGAGAAAACAAAACTAAAATCGCAACAACAAAAAACCCCAGGCACTCAAACCAGACGCAGGGGCGAAACCAGAGCGTGCAACAACATAACATCGTGGAACGTAGCGAGGATTTGATTTCTCAGACCGTCACATTTTAACCGCAAGGACATCATGCTGTGATTCATATTTGTCATTGGGTTCACCACACGGTAGTAGCAGCAGCAGTGGTAGTAGTTTTATCCCAATGTTCTGGTCACTAACGCTGCACCACACATTCACGCCGATTCTATTTCGACGTGCCAATGTCTCGATTAGATTCTGACCGACAGAGTTGCTACTTCTCCTCCGCCTCAGCCACCCCTGGGGGCTTTTTCATGACCGGGGCATGACACGAAACAGCCTTGCACTGATCGTCCCACGCCAGAAAAGCACGCAGCCTTAGAGAGCAGTGGGGAAACCCCCGTCAGCCGTCCTCCTCGGGCCTCGACTCGAGAGAGAGCCCGGTGAGAAACCCAGCGTGGTGTTGCAAGATGAAGAGGGGAGGGCGGCGGAGTGCCATCAGACGAGACGTGGGGAAACTCGAGCCGAGGATCGGACCTTAGCGAGGCTGCACACATCATCACGATCCATGGGCTGATGGCCCGTAGGTGTCCACTGCACATGTTGCCATGTTTCCACTTTCCTCTCTTGTGCCAATATGCTCACGCATGCTCAAATAGTGCACATCTTACACACAGTTAAGGGAAGGCGTATATGCATGCATACACGTCTTCCATTAATTGTGCTCCTTCGCTGGATGTGGCCGAATTCCAGCTCTGAGAAGTTTGACTGTCACGTGATCAGCATCACCCTGCGGCAGGGTGGGTGGGACAGTGCTGCCCTCTACTGTGTGCCCCGGAGGTCACTTGACAAAGCCCTTTCAGAGACAGCTCTGCCATGTGCGCTTCTGTGGGCCATGCTCGATGAACAAGTCCTCCGACCCGCGTTGTGACGCCGATGATGGCACAATTGGGATGAGAACAGGGGTAAGGGTGCAGCCCTGCAATTGCTTGCTCAGGCCACTGCTGGCAGAAGGGCCTCGCTTAGAGGCATCTATAGAGGATATTTTGGCCTCATCTTCCACACCGGCCAGACCCTTTTTCAAGAGGCGGGAGTATCCACCCACACACGAACCTCACCGCAAGCCAGTTCAAAAGCCAAAGTTGGATTCCCGTAAATGTCCGGTAGGTGCGTGCTCATAGCTGCTAAAAATAGGGGACACCACCCCCACCCACCCACCCACCCCTCTCTACCCTCTCCACTTGACAAACGGTGGCGACAGGGCTGTCCGTCTCAGCACATTCACCGGCGCCGAGGGGACAAAGGCAGCCGGGCGAGATTACGGGAGAGGCGGCTCGGGGTTTGGGGACGGCCAACGTCACTCACCGGGCGTTCCAGCCAAACCCCAAAATAGTCCGCGGACGCCCAGTCGCTACGCTAGCCGCCGCTGCCAGGAGACCGCACAAAGTACAGTACAACGATTGACCTGGCTGTGGTGCCCTCTTGCTGCCCGACACACAGGGCACACCCCCCCCCCCCATGCCCGCAGCAGCCTACAACATCCTGCTTCTTACACACGGGGGGTGGGGGGCCCATGAGAGCGCGAGCCAGGCGTGACCCCCGCTTGGCTTTCCGATCCGGTGAGAGATCGTGGCACGTTGCGGGCGATTTGGCCGCAGGGAGACACCCGGACACAGTACAACGTTGCGCATATTCGACAACGCTGGGGATTACTGGGGTATGGGCGGCGTGAATATGTGGGATCAGCGAACGCCTACATAAGAGGTTAGTTCCGGAACACGCGTGTACGTTACCGGACCAAAATCAAGCGGGAAAATACTTCGCCGAGCTTGGGACGAAGCTTTGCGGGAGACCCACACGAGGTTAAGAATAACGCTGCGGCTGCGTGCGTGAAGAGCGCACATTTGCGAACGCCCACAAAGGACAACAGCTGCGCCGAGCCCATACACGCCGCGCTCGTGCGTTGGTGGCAGGCAACCGGCCCGGGCAGGACAGGCGACAGTTGGACGCCCGGGAGGCCGCACGGCGTCGCGTCGCCAAGTTTCGGACCGCGTCGGTGACCGACAGCCGCGGCGGGGCTACTCGCCTCGTCAATGTTGCGCAGCCACTTGCTGATGTTCTCGAAGCTCTTGGCGTTGGTGATGTCGTACACCAGCATGATGCCCATGGCGCCGCGGTAGTACGAGGTGGTGATGGTGTGGAAGCGCTCCTGCCCGGCCGTGTCCCTGCGTACAGACAAACAAGACAAAGACGCCCCCGCCCGCCGTATAGCCTTTAACGGACCGTTGGGGCAAGTGCTGCAGCACCTCCGAAGGCCGTCAGGGAGCACGAGAGAGTGGGTAGGTCGGTGGCCAGCACCACGACGGCGCTTCAATGATAATGTATTACTTCAGATAGCTTGGCATTGAACGATGACCCATTTACAAACAATGAGGGATTATGCGCATTTAAATATTGGGCAGTTTACCAGCATTGGTTTAAGTAAGCATGACTCAATCTCTCTTTAGACTGGAGGAATCCGATGAGCTATGAAGCTCTATTTCACAGATGAGACGCTGAATCTCAAAACGTGCCCAAAGTTGTTGCTTGCGTTGAACCAATGCTACTGAAAAGATGCATTCTCAGATGGGATGAGCCACCGATGTGCAAAACACATCGGAGATTTTATGCTGAAACACGAATATGGGAAGCGGGCGTTACATCCGCTTGCTCGTCCTAAAAGTAACAAACAGAAGGTAACGGGGGAGGCCTTTGCCCAGCAGTGGGAAGTTAAAGACTGGCAGCAAGATCAGCGCAAAATCAGAGATATGACAAACTGCCGTGACATTGGGGGTTGTCAGTCCTCGAAGGAATTGATGGCGGGATGTCGTTCCTTAAACACGTGGCGGTGTTCACAATACAACTCGGGAACATTTTCCGCACAACGCAGAAGGCACGCCGTTATAACGCAGAAGGCGCGCCATTATAACGCTGAATGCAGGCCGTGATAACGCTGAACGCAGGCCGTGATAACGCTGAACGCAGCCCGTTAAAACGCTGAACGCAGCCCGTTAAAACGCTGAACGCAGCCCGTTAAAACGTGTTTTCTGAGCGGTCGACGACGAACTACTTTCTTGGTCTGGGCGGCTCAGAGGTGTGATACAGTACGCGGAGTGATACAGTACGCGGAGTGATACAGTACGCGGAGTGATACAGTACGCGGAGTGATACAGTACCGTGGCATACCCTCATCTGCGGCCCGATTTTACAGTGCACACATGATCTAGTACAGTAACTCATCGCTTAACGCGGTCCATTGCAGGAAGGCACCACCTACTACTATTACTTTGACTCGCGCGTCAAACGAGAGATGACTCCTGTCCTCCGTTCCCAAGTAGCTGGACAGTCACACAGGGTCAGGGTGGCTACTCCACACTCCGCTCCTGCAGCGGAGATGACGAGCCCGTCGGGACGAGTCCACCGGGACGAGCCCGTCAGGACGATTCTTCGTGGACAGTTGTGGTCGACCGCTCTTTTGTCCGTTCGATGACTCGGGCCCCTTTAAATCTGGCAGCCGCCTGACATCCTGCCTCCCAAAGGCGGGAAAACCTCCTACAAGCCACACCCGGCCTGACGGGGCTGATGACGCCGCCGATGACGCCACCGAGCCCTGACCATCACCTCCCGTCCAGCGGCACGGGGCTGCAGTGCACTGCACCAACCGCTACGACGCTCGCACACAAGCAACAAGGTTCCACGTGTAGCCGTATAGACTGCTGGGGGCAGGTGCTGTTAGCGAGCACCTATTGAGGCAGGCACGTCACACGAGGTCGTTGTGGCAAGTACCACGCCTAGCCACCTTAAGCTCTCTCGTGCGGTGTTCCCACACCAAATTATTTACACATTTTTTAACTCTGCGTCAACCTAGCAGAGGGTCCTGAACACATCGATACGTCACTCGCGACCAAAATCACAGAGGGATTCGAACCCAGATCACTGGGTTTGTACTGCGGTGAGTACACAAAGACAAAGATCCCCCATATAGCCTCAAACAGACTGTTTGGGCGAGTGCTGTTAGCGAGCACCTATGATGACTGGCACGGCAAGGGGTGGTTGGCCAACATTTCGCCTGGCCACCTTTGTTTTCCCAGTGGCTACACAACACACCAGGTACTCAATTGAGGCCGAGTCAACCTAGGGGAGGCCCACAACCGATTCAGATAATCGTCACTGGTATTGGCCGTGAGCAGGAATCGAACTCGGGTTGCCAGGCACACCACTACACGAGAGACAACCACGCAGGCACGCAGATGGAAATATGCACGGACACGGCTCAACAGCCGCGTACAAGACCCTTTTTTTTCTCTTCCTGTAAACCCGTTGAGTCGCTAGCGCCCCAATCTCGCATGTTGCAATAAATTCAATGGAACGCTGCCCCGGGGCGGGTTCAGTACTCCACCACTGGCAGGAGGGAGGGGGGCGGGAGGTTGGGGGAGGGGCGGTGGGATTCCAATGCGGACCTCAGCCAACCAAATAATGCACACGTAGGGCCCACTCTTGTAATGATCGGCAGGCCCCTGAACGTGAATACAGCAGCTCAGGATCAGCAGCCAAGTGTGTATCGATTAGCTCCTGTTTAATGTGGTCAAATGGTTTCTGGAAAATAAAAATAATAATAAACAGAGCCTCTTCATTTATCCGGGAAAGTCTCGTTGAGTCTCAAGGCTCCTTTACAGGAGGGTCCTACAATGCTTGGCCAATGCGATTCGTGAGTGTTGCGTTCAACACTTGAATACGTCCTGTTGAAAACATCATTCTGATCCGTCATTTCAAGAATAAAATTCGCTTCCACAGCCCCCTTATTAAAAACCTCACGAGAAAGGGACACACATATGTAGAAAACTTATTTCGCACCGTACATAGCCATCCATGCTAATCGGAGGTGCGGGGAAGGACAACAAACTATGTATGTAGAACAAACTATGTCTGCATTGCACGTGACAAAGAAAAACGAGTCTTCGGATTTCCTGGACTTGTATACCACGATGAAAATGTGGAAATTCCACTGCTGGCTTAAGGCCAGCGATGGAAAGGAACGCCACGATAATTACACTCTCACACCGCACTAACGTTCTCAAGTGCGCGACTGAAAATCCGACGCTCGCTCATACGCCAGATTTCCATTCCTAAAAATCGAACCACGTTCAAAGAAATCCACCCAACTCCCTCGCGCGAGTTGGGATTACACCGTCAACGTCGGCCGGGCCGATATCAAACGCCGCCAGCAGCAGCCGGCAACACTATAGCACTCAATTCAGTTCCTGAAAATGCTCGCGGCACCTAGAACGAAACGTTGGACAGAGGGCAGTTGTTTACGCAGATGCTCCACCGTTCGAAGTAGATGGACACTTTTGCACGGTCGCTGGAGGGTGGAGTTGTCTCCATTTGTGCACGAGTTGTGAGCAAAGACGCGCGGTGGTCTGCGGGTGTGCGAGTGAGTGACTGTGTGAGCGAGTGGGTGTGTGTGTACTTCACGTGGCCTTAAGGTGCACATGACCTGGCACAAGAGTCGTGGTGACGTCACCGCCACTTAGTGGCGAATGGCGGTTGTTGTAAGCGGTGTTGCGTAGCGTTTAGCGTACCTTGCTACAAATCCGACAACCCAAGTTCGATTCTCTCTCATGGCCAACACCAGAAATGATTATCTGAACCGGCCCTGGGCCTCCTCTAGGTCAACTCAGCCTCATTAGAACCTGGTACAGTGTGTCAACATCGCCACTGAGGAGACCAACGTGACCGGGTGAGGTTCCGGCCACCCACCGAATCGGCCTTCATAGGCGCTACTCATTCACAGCACTTGCCTCAACAGTCTGTTAAAGCTATATGGGGATATTTGTCTCGTGGGTGTACACGTGTGAGGGAGTCCATGTGTGACTACGTGTGTTCATTGAGCGAGTGTGTCCGTGTGCGAGTGTGTGAATGAATGGTTGTAAATGGGCGAGTGAGTGACAAGTTGAGGCACCATCAGTCATATTTTAAGAAAACGATTCACTGGAAAACTCTGCCGTAGAGAGTTAACCGTCCTGCTGCACCCTAACGGCCTTCACTTGCGGTTGGGACAGGGCTCTTAGCCCACGTAGCGTCGTCACCTCCACAGGTAACATTTAAACAACGCCCACACAGTGCGGAGCCAAGCGCTTGCGGGAATCTCCGTGTCAGTCAGGCTGACACAAGCAAGACAAGCCCTGGGGCGCAGGTGAGCTCACCCAACGGAAAGGAGACACACACCCACACACACACATACACGCATGCACAGAAAGATCCCTTGTATGTTGCCTATTACAGACTGTTGGGGGCAGTTTTGTTATAGCCAGCATATATTAAGAGCAGCACGGACATTGGTGGGGTGGCAAAACCACCACCGGCGACCTTTGTCTTCCCAATGCTGATGTTTGCATGTCGCACCAGGTACTCATTTCAGAGTGAGTCGACCTTGGGAAGGCCTGGAACCGGTTCAGATAATCGTCACCCATGTTGGCCGCGAGCGAGAATTAATCTCGGGTCACAGGGTTTGAAGCGCAGTGTGCCAACCATTGCACCGCCGCTCCACACACACACACACGTGCACACATGCGACCGCAAGCACGCATAGTCTGCTTTGCGACATGCTCTAAACATGTCCCAACGACGCATCCTTGCGATGTGCCACTGCTGCGTGACAGCACTGAGGCTACAATAATTCCTCATTATCATAGCCATCAGCCACTTTTAATCCACTGCTAAAGGCCTCCCCACCCTCCCCCAAAGTCGTCAGCATCCCTCATGACTCTGCGACGTAATAAGGATTGCGAGATGGCGATAGCGTCAATTATTATTGCCTGCTATTTAGCCAGGAAAGGCTTGACGAGTGCTTGTGTAAGAAGCGTGCTGCCACACTGGAATGACCCCACGCCATGTTAACGAGCGTCTGACTGCGCGTGGTAGGAAACTGGAGAAATTGCCACTGGCGTTAAACCGTGGCCGGGAATTGAACTCGGGCAGCCGGGTTCACTGGGGAATGCGTGAACTACTCCTCCGTCTGCTACACCCAAGTATGTGTGCATATATTTAAAATATATAAACATTATTTTAAATCCACACTACAAGGAACATGACAACATTTCACAATTGGTCAGTGCTGCTTTAAGTTGACAGGATGTGGCCAGGTGGCTCTGCGGCTCGCAATCGCAAGGACATTAGTTCAATTCCCAGCCAGGGACCAACCCAAGACCATCATCATATCACCATCGTTACCATCGCTGTGGAGTCAATAAATACTGCTTATATATAGTATTTTTTCCTCTCATATAAGGCTTGTTCCCAGCATATGAATGTGGAATCTTTACCAATACCTCATCTGCTGCTCCCATAGTCTGGAACTCCCCCTTACCTAAGCCAAGTGCTGTTGACTCCCTGCCTCAAGTAAATGCGCAAGACCTTTCTCACCGCCTCTGCCGAAGACCGCCTGCCTCTATCTATCGGTAAAATAAAACATCTACGTTTCTGTACAGCGTCTTGACATTCCATCGCATTTAGGCGGTATGTAAATTTACATTGCGTTCGACTGTGCCGGGTTTCCAATTGAACTGTATAATCAAACATGCCCCCTTTTAAATGGAATGAAAGTTGTTTGGAAAATCAATAGGACGGCTACAAATGTACATGTGCTTGCAAGAATCTCTCCCTGCTCGGGGACAGGACGCAGATGAACACATCATTTAGGTTTGGTTGAATAAATGTGTTTTGGATGCAGTTAACAGGGTTTTCAGTCCAAGCATGGCTAATATTAAGAACAAAATATACAATCAAAGCATGAACTGCAATACAGGACTCGGGCAGTGACGGTTCAAGAGAAACTATAACAATTTAGAAATCTCTTAATTAACCCAAATTATTTGAAGAAAAAAAAGCAACAGAGCAATTTTTATTCGAATAGGTTTAGTTCTGGGGCAAAAAGGTGCAGTGGTACGCACAACACGCCCCAAAGCTGGCGTGCAAAGTTAAACTCCAGCCACAGCTAATATCAGCACCAAACCGCATTGACCAGAACAGAAAATTTCAGTCTCAGCACCAACAAAGCGCGAGGAGGCCTTCATCCAGCAGCTGGTTAACAAAGGAGTGACACCGTTTCTTGTTGTTGTTAGCTGGTAACTTCCCACTGCAGGGTAAAGGCATCCCCCCCCCCGTTTCTTCTATTCCTGCCTTTTGTGAGGTGTTCATGTCCAGCAACAGCCTCCGAACTCATGATTTCACGACAATTACTTATTTCCATTCTAAATTCAGCTATCGTATTCTCCTGCTTCAGCCTGGAGACTCGGTGAAGGTCGTCAACGGAAATGAACACCGAGGAAACGCACGTCAGCAGCGGGACACTTTGACGTGACTCAAGTTGACATAGAACACTATATTAAGCACAAGCTTTTTATATTATTATTTATTTTTAAAGGGAGACGCGACGCTACCTACAAACCAATGGGCCAAAGCGCTCTGGCGAAACTTGTGGAATAGTCCAGGTCTCACTGCACCAACGGCAACATGTGGAGGTTGTAATCCACGCGCATTTGCACGTTTAGAGACACGCCATTGATAGTTAAGCGGGCGGTGGTCGAGGCAAAGAGCAAAACCAAGGAAAGGCAGCCAAAGGAGAAAAACACGCCCCGAGATGACATCCACCGTGGAGATAAAGAGATCGGATCAACTCGAGTGCAGGAGCTAGATCAGTGGTGGGCATCGGGCAGGCCGCAGGCCGCATGCGTCCTATGGAACCCCTTGTGGTGGCCTGGTCTTAGTGCCTCCAGGAAGATGCGTGGCAGTTGTGATGAGTGCACAAGCAAAGATGTCAAGCCTGCGGCCCACTCAGGTGGAGGAGGGCCGCTCATGGGGCACGCGAACTCGTCTGGGTCCCCCGTCACGAATGTTTGTTGCATCGCAAGACTGTCATAGAAGGCAACGGCTTGGGGAAGCCTTAAACTAGTAGTGAACAGATCATGGCTGGTGGTTATGATGATGAAACCATCCACATCCAACTCCCTTTCAACACACTTACCATATCTGCAGCTTAATCTTCTTCCCACCCAGTTCTATTGTCTTGATCTTGAAATCAATTCCTGTGAAAAACACAAACGCGTTGCTGTTATTTACAAGCAAAATGAATAGAAATTCACGGTCGAGATTTATGGTAACATCCATGTATTCGGAAAATGCCAAAACACTTCATCATTCCTGCCAATTTTCCTGCAGTTAGCGATGGAGATATTGGTATGGCTACACCATAAATCAGACGAACATTGACGATTAAATTGTGATCTTTAAAATAAATTCTCTCTAACTTTCAACTATATTACCTTTTCAATGTGGACACGTCTTGCAAGATTTCACTTCTACCATAAATTTTTGCTGCTAGCTGTTAACCACCTTGCGTCAAAAAAGTGGACCCAGATGATTAAATATAATAAATTATTCCCAAGTCACCTGAAATTGGCCTCGATCCACGTTAGTGACAGAGCTTTATATGCCCTTCAGAGTGTTCAATGCGTTTTTTGCTCGTTTCTGAAAGCTGGAATATGCGAAAATTGAAAAAAATCGATGGCTTTAATTGTGCAGCCATTGGTGACCGGGCTGAGATCATCAATTTGCTACTTGAGACCTCGCTTTAATCATAAGTGGCCGAAACATGAACTCAAACCCAGGATCTTCGTGGTTCCAACCCAGGTGTCTCAGATTGCGTTTGATTCCTAAACCACTGCGGCTACTCAATTTAGTATTTTTAGATGCGACACATTTTGAAAGAGTTCCAAAACTTGCATGCAACTGAAACTTTAAAATCACCTCAAAGAGATACAGGATTCGGGCGTGTTTCATTTTCCTTCTCGTCTTGGACATGTCATGAACCCAGTGTCGGGGTTAATGGAAGTGCCGTGAGGCAGGGACGCATTACCCACCGTCTCACAATGAGCCATTAAGCACAGAAACCACATGCACGGATATATGCTGTGTGTATTCGTCAGCCGTTTGTCGATCCGCTGCCCCCACTCCAATCAAATCCGCTGTGGGAACGTATTCGAGTGGTTATAAACCCCACGACCGGAGTTTGATTCCTGGCCACCAAACTCCTTCACCAACCCTGCAACTCACAAGGGTGGCGAGATTATGGAGCAACAACCCCCACGACCGACGTGGCCTGGGGGAATCCATCCATCCCGCAGTGGATTTACAAAGGGCTGTAAAATGTTACGATTGTAATTTCCCCTATTTTTATGTACGCGTGTACATAGTTGCCGAATGGGTTGTTTTTTATGTAGAAGTGACCGTTTTGCAAAATGTGTTGACACGTACGCATGAGAAAAATGTGAACCAGCCCTATCCTACAATGGCCAACGCGCGTGAAGCAGAGCGGAGTATCCGCAAACACATCGGACTAGGTTCCTCTACTTCCACAGCTCATAATTCAGGGCCGTTGACCACAACATTCACTTACCAAAGCTGCCTATATTTAAGATGATAATCGACTTTCTAAGATCGTGGTAAAGCACACTGTATTTGTCAGTCTCTGGTATGTATTTGTGTGGTAATGTTTGAGAAATTACTGAAAACTAAAACCACAAATTTATTTCATCACCTTCCATGGCAAACACACGCACACACACCGCCCCCTTTCTCTTGCATCACCAGTCATTGCCCATCCACTGCTGGATGAAAGCCTCCCCAAGCATTCGCTGTCATCCAACAATCGCCACGAAGTGGCGGTGACGACAACACTCCGCTTGTGCCAGACTAGGTGCACCTTGAGGCAATGTGAACTGTCGGTTGACCGAGATGACAGACTTGTGCTCCCCACTGTCAACGTGCTGCGTTTTATCCTCCCGGTGTCCTGCTCGTTGTTGTGAGCGTCTCTCCTCCACCCTCTGTTAATGCTGGAGGGCGACTGCCACCAACTGCCCAGTAGCAGCGTCATTCCCAGAGGCCGATCTTGACACCGCTGTTACCAATCATCAGCAAGTCCCCTCCTGTACCGCATCACTCCATCTCTTCTCCAGCCCGTGCCGCGCCCGTTTAGCCCTCCTCTATCCGGCCAAACAGAAGCGACTTTCGGCATGCGGTGGCTGCGCATCTATCCATCTCAATCCTGGCCATGAGAACCAGTCTCATCGCTCCATCTCTGCGGTGGCCGTCCTTAGGCTGCCATTCCATTACCAGTCTCGTCCATCGATCTTCATCCCGTCTCGCGACGTACCCTGCCCAAGGCTCATTGACTTTTGCTAACAATCTGACAACGATTTCTCTGATGTGCTCATTCCCCGACTTCACGTCTCGGTGTGATTACAATAATAACTGCACAGACCTCTCAAATTATTCTTTGTACGACTGCAAAAACCAGCCATCGTCAATATTCGCGTTATAATAGTTCCACTAATTCAGACAATTTTAGCCCTGAACGGAGAACATAGGAGTTGCGGTAACAAACAAAAAACAGCACCGTCACGCTCACGAACTGTTAACACACAAGCACACGAGACATCAACATCATCACGAGCGCCCCCATCCCACCCGTGGCACCGTGGCAGTCCCCCCACCTCCTGGCCATGGCCGATCTAAAAAAACCACTCAACACCAGCCATTGTCTTGTGTCGCCACCTCGGCGACACTTTAACAACATCCACGTTGGATAAAACTCGGATCAAGAGCGGCGGGCAGACCGAGGGACGAGCGCCGCTCTTGATTCGCGTGTCACGCCGTTGCCATCTTGAGACGAGGAAATTCACGGAGCGGCGGCCAACGCCTACATTTGGGCCATCTCGCTCCTCAAAGCCCCACAAACTACGCCCGGCCGCGCCTCGCAGCACCGAAACGCGTTCACGGAGCCACATCGAATCGAAAAAAACCCCGCGTTCATCGGCCAAAATAGCAAACAATATCGCCATAAACCCGGCCATCGCCACCGAGGCCTACAGTCAGCCCTGCGGCCTAGGCGCTTTCCTGAGCCGCCGGCCGGGTTCGGTTGAAGTCGGCCCGGCCAAGTCGGCCACCACCACCACCACCACCTGGGTGGACCACCCCTTACCCACCCGCCCCCCCACCCCCAACCTTCCGCTGCCTGTCGGCGCCCCCTGCAGCCCGCCCGAGGCCCCACCGATGGTGGAGATGAAGGTGGTGTTGAAGGCGTCGTCCGAGAAGCGGAATAGGATGCACGTCTTGCCCACGCCCGAGTCTCCGATGAGCAGCAGCTTGAAGAGGAGGTCGTACGTCTTCTTAGCCATGGCCGCGCTCAAAATGGCTTCCCCTTGCTCGCCCTGTGTCCGTCTCTCTCCGTCCCCTCGTCTCCACTATGTCTCTCCCTGCCTCCCGATGTTGTCCCTCTGTCTGCCTGTCCCCGTGTCCTCTGTAGCTCGCCTCTCGTATGTCTCCCTGTCTTCCCTATTCGTCTACGTCTCCTTGTCTGTCTCCCTTTGCTCCTTGTCTGTGTCTCGATTGTCCACGTTTCCTCGTCTGTCTGCAACCTTGCCGGTCTTTCTACCCGTGTCCGTGCGTCTCCCTGTCGTCTCCCCAAACCCCTTGGCTGCCTTCCCTGTCTACGAGCTCGTCTCTCTCTTACCTCCCGTCTACCTTCCCTCTCTATCTTCCCCGATCCTACTCTGCCTCTTCTTCCTCCCCGTCCCTCTTCGTGTCTCTCTCCCTCTCCCGCTCTGTGTATACGTGCTGACTATGTCAGTGTCGGTAGTCCCAGCACAAAAGAGCCGCCGGCTTGACCTCACATTGCCCGGTACAGGGACGCCGGCATCGCGGCGAACGGCTTGCTGGTAGTGGTGGTCTCACGCAGAACACGTCGGCACGCTCTGCCCCCTACTTCTCGGGCCTTCCCCGCGTGTCCCTTGATCGCGTCTGAGCCGTGAGCTATCGAGGCGTTCGCCGCTATCGCTTCCCCCTTTCACCCTCGTCGCCTCGCCCCTGCAATGGCGAGAGGCAGACGGACGAGTTCGGGCCGGGCCGGAGGGCGGCGCTGCTCAAAACAAAACCACACGGGGTGGGGGGTGGGGGGGAGGGGTGGGGGTGGGGTGGGGGGGAGGGGTGGGGGTGGGGTGGGGGGGAGGGGTGGGGGTGGGGGTGGGGGGGAGGGGTGGGGGGTGGGGGGGAGGGGTGGGGGGTGGGGGGTGGGCCACGAGGGGTGGGGGCGGGGCTAGTGGGGGTGGGGGGGAGGCCACGAGGGTTGGGGGCGGGGCTAGTGGGGTGGGGGGAGGCCACGAGGGGTGGGGGCGGGGCTAGTGGGGGTGGGGGGGAGGGGTGGGGGGGTGGGGGGTAGGGGGCCACGAGGGGTGGGGGCGGGGCTAGTGGAGGTGGGGGGGAGGCCACGAGGGGTGGGGGCGGGGCTAGTAGAGGTGGGGGGGAGGCCACGAGGGGTGGGGGCGGGGCTAGTGGGGCGGGGGGGAGGCCACGAGGGGTGGGGGCGGGGCTAGTGGGGATGGGGGGGAGGCCACGAGGGTTGGGGGCGGGGCTAGTGGGGAGGAGCCGGGAGGGATTTGGGGGGGGGGTAGAGGAGGGGCTGGAGAAGCCCGGACGGCGGGCGGGCGGGCGGGATGGAGGAGGGGCCATGAGGAAAGGGGGAGGGGCTGGAATGGGAGCGGGAGGGGCTGGAAAGGGTGGGGGAGGAGCCAGAAAAGACGGGGGAGGGGTCATATACTCAGTTCTTTCGGTAAAGTCACGGAGGTAAAAAATGAAATTAAAATTAATAAAAATAAAATGGCAGGCGGAGGGGCCGGAAAGGATAGGGGAGGGGCGGAGATAAGGGAGGAGCCTGGAGGGGTGGGGAGGGGGCTGGGAGTAATGGCGGGGGGGGGGGCTGGAGGGATGTGGGAGGAGTCTGGAGGGATGTGGGAGGAGTCTGGAGGGATGGAGGAGGAGTCTGGAGGGATGTGGGAGGAGTCTGGTGGGATGGAGGAGGAGTCTGGAGGGATGTGGGAGGAGTCTGGAGGGATGTGGGAGGAGTCTGGAGGGATGGAGGAGGAGTCTGGAGGAATGTGGGAGGAGTCTGGAGGGATGGAGGAGGAGTCTGGAGGGATGGAGGAGGAGTCTGGAGGGATGTGGGAGGAGTCTGGAGGAATGTGGGAGGAGTCTGGAGGGATGGAGGAGGAGTCTGGAGGGATGGAGGAGGAGTCTGGAGGGATGGAGGAGGAGTCTGGAGGGATGGAGGAGGAGTCTGGAGGGATGTGGGAGGAGTCTGGAGGGATGGAGGAGGAGTCTGGAGGAATGTGGGAGGAGTCTGGAGGGATGTGGGAGGAGTCTGGAGGGATGTGGGAGGAGTCTGGAGGGATGGAGGAGGAGTCTGGAGGAATGTGGGAGGAGTCTGGAGGGATGGAGGAGGAGTCTGGAGGGATGTGGGAGGAGTCTGGAGGGATGTGGGAGGAGTCTGGAGGGATGGAGGAGGAGTCTGGAGGGATGTGGGAGGAGTCTGGAGGGATGTGGGAGGAGTCTGGAGGGATGGAGGAGTCTGGAGGGATGTGGGAGGAGTCTGGAGGGATGTGGGAGGAGTCTGGAGGGATGGAGGAGGAGTCTGGAGGGATGTGGGAGGAGTCTGGAGGGATGGAGGAGGAGTCTGGAGGGATGGAGGAGGAGTCTGGAGGGATGTGGGAGGAGTCTGGAGGGATGGAGGAGGAGTCTGGAGGGATGTGGGAGGAGTCTGGAGGGATGTGGGAGGAGTCTGGAGGGATGTGGGAGGAGTCTAAAGGAATGGAGGAGGAGTCTGGAGGGATGTGGGAGGAGTCTGGAGGGATGTGGGAGGAGTCTGGAGGGATGGAGGAGGAGTCTGGAGGGATGTGGGAGGAGTCTGGAGGGATGGAGGAGGAGTCTGGAGGGATGAGGGAGGAGTCTGGAGGGATGGAGGAGGAGTCTGGAGGGATGAGGGAGGAGTCTGGAGGGATGAGGGAGGAGTCTGGAAGGTAGTGGGAGGAGTCTGGAGGGATGGAGGAGGAGTCTGGAGGGATGAGGGAGGAGTCTGGAGGGATGAGGGAGGAGCCGGTGTGGATGGGGGCGTGGCCGGGGTGGAGGGGTCGGGGGCTCCTCCCACCACGTCGTTGCGACTAAAGTCACACACTGCGCGTCTTCCTGCGCGCGTGCACGGGGGCTGTCACGTGACCAATACTAAGAGTGACACGAGGAGAGGGCACTGTTGTAATTCCACTGCTGGATGAAGGCCTCTAAGCCTCGGGGTTATTTGACGCTCGCTGTGGCCAGGAATCGAACTCGGTTCATGTCCTGGCCCCTCCCGCTCCATAATAATTATAACAACCCAATGTCAGTCGTGATTCGAGCTCAAATTAGTTTGACAGCCCTGGGCTAGTGGTGGACATTACAAACGTATACGACGGGAGCCTAATCTGACCATTCATCAGATTATGTTTCCTTTTAAAAAAGTGGTACTACTCGAAATGTATCATTTTACCGACCACGGGGCTGGATGATGGGCTGAGTCGACCCTTAGCCGTAATTCGTGATGGGGACCCCGCTGGAGTGCATCGATGCATCGATTACCTCCGATGAATATCGGTGACGTGCGTGTCCCGCTCCTCGCGGACAGGTCACGTGTTGGCTAGAAGGGGCAATGGTCGAGACTGAGAGCGGAGTGGCAGCCGAAGGCGGCGCACACGCCCGAGAAGACGACCGCCGTGGGGGATGGAGCGATGAGACAAACTCCATGCGCAGAAACGAGATGGAGTGTTACATCGCGTGAGCGTCAATGGACGGCGACGGCCTCGGGGAAGCGTTCACCCAGCAGTGGAGGAACCCCATGCGGAACGAGGTGGGAGAGGAACACACGCCCCACGTGGAAGGCCCTTCTTGCACCGCTCCCCCCACGCCGCCGTCGTCGAACGATGTCCCCGTGCGGGACGCGACTCCGACATCCACCAGAGGGCAGAGTGCGCCCTGCTAACAGCGGCACAGACAAAGATCCACATCTCCCCCGTAGGCTACACGGACTGTTGGGGCAAGTGCTGTTTGCGAGCGCCTATTAGCGCCGATGGTGTGGTAAAGCAGCACGCCCGACCGCCTTTGTCTTCCCAGCGCTGATGTGTACCCGACGCATCAGGGTGCTCATTTAAGGCCGAGTCGATCTCGGGGGGACAAGTTCAGAGTTCCACCTGCCACTTTACTCGGCAGGGAAACGTCGCGCGCACACACACACATGAACACATACATGACACACACACATACATGACACACACATGACACACACACACATGATACACACATACATGGCACACACACATGACACACACATTACACACACACATGATACACACACACATGACACACACACACACATGACACACACACATATGACACACACACATGATACACACACACATGATACACACACATATGATACACACATATGACACACACATATGACACACACACATGATACACACACACATGATACACACACATATGACACACACATATGACACACACACATGATACACACACACATGATACACACACATATGACACACACATATGACACACACACATGATACACACACACATGACACACACACATGACACACACACATATGACACACACACATATGACACACACACAGGTCTTGTCGTCACCACTGCTCGCATCTTTGATGAAAAGAACCGGGAGTATTTAATTATTTAATTACAAAATCTGAGCGCGTTGTTCGCTAAGGTTTCACTTGGGCAGTCGCGGCGACGACACCGCATCTCCTACCCCGCAGAGGGGGTCCCACCCCCCCCAGCCCCCCTCCACTCCCGCCCCTACCCCCCCCTTCCCCCACGATTAATTGTCACGATTCAAGTTCACTGAGTCCGATTAAACCATCACGTCACGTGCTGCCTTGTTTATATTGGCTGACTCGTTTGTGCCGTCTCGTGTCTAGCGCATTGCCCCTCTCGTGGGCTTCTGTGTCGATTGTGCGGTCCCGTTTTGTATTGTCTCGTTCGTAAATAATGTGCAGGTAAGTCACTCGTGTACTACAGCACGTATCAGTCACCTGCATAGGACAGGCACGTACCCGGCATGCACAGGTAAGTCACTTGTACACCATCGCATGGTTAAGTCACCTGTGGACATAGGTACGTTACCTGCACAGTATAATACAGGCAGCCTATTAGGGAGGTAAGTCACCTGTACAGACAGGTGTAGTCTTGGATCGGTAACTCATATTTGTACTACAGCAGAGTTAAGTCACCGGCATATGCAGGTAACTCACCTGTGCATTATATAATGGTAAAGGTGACGGTCATCGATTGAGTCTGTGACGCAGAAACCATTGCACATGCATGCCGAGATAATTAACATCATCACCATCGCCAGCATCATCATCGTCGTCACCTCCATCGTCGTCATCATGGGAAGAGCACCGTCAATCGTCCACGATGATTAATATTTAAAGGTGCAGTTCTGGGTTCTCGAGGTGATCCAATTGGCCACGAGGTGGCCGGCTGGCTCATTGGGTCATTATGGTCGTGCCAGGGATGCCGAGCCGTTACCCCCGAGGGCCTGGGTTCGATTCCAGATTTCATCTGCCGAACCACAGGGATTAAACCAGGGTCGTCGCCTCAGCCCCGTCACCAATGACTTGCACAGAGACCCATAGACTCACATAGAGACCCATAGACTCAGCATAGACCGAGTTGTGATTAAACCGTGGGCTCAAGTGTCGCGAGATTGATTGGTCTCAGTCCGGTCACCGATGGCTGCTCACACAAAAAAACGCAATCATGTTAAATTCCATTTGTCAATTTTCACTACAAAAGGGAATCGGTTTCGTTGAGATTGGCATGGGGACAGCTGTCTGTGCCCATGCTCACCAGCACAGGGCGTTACAAAACACAGCACGCCCAGAGAGAGAGACAGAGAGAGCAGCATCTGTACAAGGAATTAAGTGGCTCGCTCGCATGCGTGTATGTGTACCCAGTGGTAGAGGCCAGTGACAGCTCAGCCGACCCATGGTCGCCACATCCAGAGTTCAAATCATAACCAGAGTCGCCCCATTCCCACAATCATCATCATGTTCATCATCATCACTGGATGCATTGTCATCATCTTCCGATCCGTTTTCATCATCATCATCGTGGTGGTCAGTATCTTCAGAATCATTGTCCATCATTAGCAACATCTTCTTGATGATCATCAATATCATCTGATTCATTGAAATCCTCACCGTCATTTTCATCATCATTATCAGCATCATCATAATCGTCATAATCTTCTGATTCATTTCCACCACCATCATCATCGTCATCTCTCTGGGGTGGATACAATGAGAACGACGCCTGCTGAGCAGTTTATTGTTAAGAAAGTCAGTATTGGCCGCTGTAAGAAAGGACTTGTCCCCGCCATATGAACGTGGAATGTCCAGCACCGCCGCTGGCGATGAACCTCGCGTAGTGGTCGTTGAAGGGTGTCGCCTGGCAGCTCGACTCGATATGAACGAGTGAATGAACGAGGGAACGAACGAGTGAAAGAACGAGTGAACGGACGAGGGAACGAGTGAATGGATCAATCCGGATGGGGCCTCCACTTGCAGTCGGTGCACGAGTTATTAAGCCAGCTCGTCACGTGGTGGGGCATGACATGGTGTGTCTCGGTGTGTAGTGTCACAGTGTGTAGTGTCACAGTGTGTAGTGTCACAGTGTGTTGTGTCACGGTGTGTAGTGTCAAAGTGTGTCGTGGTATATTGTGGAACGGTACAATATTAATACTGTGTCTAGTTTATATATTGCGTCGTTTACGCAAATCGCATCTCTCACAGTAGCTGAGGACCCACATACACGAGCTGGCAGAAGTAGCAGTAACAGCAGTGGTAGTAGTAATAGTTGCAGCAGTGGTAGTAGTAACAGCAGCAGTAGCAGCAGCAGTAGTAGCAGCAGTAGCAACAGTAGTGGTAGCAGTAGTAGTAGCAGCAGCAGTAGCAGCAGTAGTAGTAGCAGCAGTAGCAGCAGCAGTAACAACAGTAGTAGTAGCAGCAGTAGCAGCAGCAGCAGGAGCAGCAGTAGCAGCATCAGCAGTAGCAGCATCAGTATCAGCAGTAGAAGCAGCAGCAGTAGCAGCAGCAGGAGCAGCAGTAGCAGCAGCATCAGTAGTTACAGCAGCAGCAGTAGCAGCAGCAGCAGTAGCAGCAGCAGTAGTTACAGCAGTAGCAGCAGTAGCAACAGCAACAGTAGTTACAGCAACAGTAGCAGTAGCAGCAGCAGTAGTAGCAGTGGTAGTAGCATCAACAGCAACAGCAGTAGCATCAGCAGTAGCAGCAATAGCATCAGCAGCAGCAGCAGTAGCATCAACAGCAGCAGCAGTAGCATCAGCAGTAGCATCAGCATCAGTAGTAGCAGCAGTAGCAGTAGTAGTTACAGCAGTAGCAGCAGCAACAGTAGTCACAGCAACAGTAGCAGCAGCAGTAGTAGCATCAGCAGTAGCAGCAGCAGTAGCAGCAGTGGTAGTAGCATCAACAGCAGCAGCAGTAGCATCAGCAGTAGCAGCAATAGCATCAGCAGCAGCAGCAGTAGCATCAACAGCAGCAGCAGTAGCATCAGCATCAGTAGTAGTAGCAGCAGCAGGAGCGGGGTGTGCGCTGTTGAGCCGCCACGGCTGCCGAGTTGCCGTGCTCTGCCGCGCGGTGGCGCTGTGCTAGAAGGGAGCCGTGGTGCATTGTTGTTGTTGCTGTTGTGCCGCGCTGTGCCGTGGCGCGGTGTATTTTGGCGCGGTGTAGTTTGGTGGGGTATATTTTGGCATGGTGTACCGTGGCGTGATGTACCGGGTGTTTCAAAAAGATTGACCCGTCTCTGCAACCACGAACCGCCCATGAATGAAACTCTTACCACTTGAAAGGGCGGGGCATAAGAGTTTCAAATGATTACCGCGAGATGCCTCTCCCAGCGCACAAACAGCCCCTAGCCTCAGTCATTCGTAAGACACACTGCCTCAACGTTGGATAGGTCGCACGGGACCCCAAGACTTGGCGCTACACTGTCGGCCCCAAAGAGCCCCAGACATCACCACACCCTGTGACTGTTTCTTGTGGGGATACGTCAAAGACCGTGTTTTTGTACCACCATTAGCTACTAATCTGGATGACCTCAAAAACAGAATCACGACAGCGGTGACTTCACTTTGATAGGCGTTTGGGACGAATTCAACTCTCGTCTGGATGTTGTCCGTACAGCAGGTGGAGGGCACATAGAGATCATTTATAAAATGGTTAGTAAAACTTGATAACTCATTAAACCGTTTGTAACTTTTTGTGTCGTTGTAACATGTTGCCATCGTGAAATATACTGCTTTGAAATTGGGTCCATCTCTTTGAAACACCCTGTATTTTGGCGTGGTGTACCGTGGGGTGGTGTGTTTTGGCACGGTGTACCGTGGCGTGGTGTATTTTGGCGTGGTGTATTTTGGCACGGTGTACCGTAGCGCGGTGTACCGTGGCGTGGTGTATTTTGGCGCGGTGTACCGTGGCGTGGTGTACCGTGGCGTGGTGTATTTTGGCATGGTGCACCGTGGCGTGGTGTATTTTGGCACGGTGTCCCGTGGCTTGGCGTGTCACATTACACGGCACGGCGCTCTAAACCTTCGCCAAACCAATCAGCTCCCCCATCACCGAACGGTGGTGCCACGCGGAGAGCGCGGCTGCTTCTGCCGCCCCGTGCGGCGACGCGATGCAGAAACACTCCGCACCGCCGCCCCCAGCGAGGTGGTGGTGCTGGTGGTGGGGGGTGTCAGGCGCGGTAGTGCATGTGCGCCGGCAGGACGTTGGTGGTGCAGGCCGGACCGGCGAGCGGCTCCACCATCTCCCCCTCCAGCTCTGTCCACGAGTCCGTGTCCGGGCTGAAGCAAAGCGTGGACGACTTGTACGCACCCTGGGCGGGCGGGAGGGATGGGGGGGCGTGGGGGGCCGGAACAACAGCAAGTGGCAGGATTTAGCCGCTAAGCGAGGCCCGTGACAGAGGTAGTCCCGGGTGGTTCGTAGGTCAGAGGGGGCCTGTCCTGGCACGGCTGAGATCCTGGGTTCAAGTCTGGGCTGCAGCCGCAGTCCATGACCACAGCTGGCTCACTAGTGAGTCTCTCTGTGAGTCTGTCGTGGGTCTGCGTGCGTGCCATTGGTGGCCGGGCGGAGACCATAAACTAACTCATCGAGTGCGTGTAACATGATCGTCAACATCGACTCTCGTCGAATAATCTCCCCCTGTACATTGAGCAGTCCCCCTCCTTAACCCCCCTTCACTCCTCTCTTAAAGCCTCGCCTCTTCTCCACTGCCCACTCTTTCCCCTGCCCTCCCCTCGCCCTTCCACTCTTGCCCGTCCCTCCCCCATAGCCCTTTCGTGACACCCACGTGATCTCTGGTACGCTCACTCATTTATCGGCCCTTGCATTGCCCCTGCCAACTCTATTGTTGTTACCGCCTTGACCTAAGGCGCTCTATACAAACACAATTAGATGCGACACGTCCCGTAAAACTGATTTTCGGTGGGTACAGCAACATAGACATAAAGTAGGGAGAGAGAGGGTAGGGAGAGAGGGGGTGTAGAGAGAGGGGGTAGAGAGAGAGGGAAGGGGTAAGAAAGAGGAGAGCAGAGCGTGAAATCTTTCATTTAAGGGGGGGGGCACATAAAGCAAAGCATAAAAAAATAAAAAACCGAAATGATGAACGAAGCAAACAAAATAGAGAGACAAAGAGAGAAAGAGATGGAGAGAGAGGGAGAGAGAAGGGAGAGGAATATGGAGAGAGAGAGGAAGCGAGAGAAAGGGAGAGGCTCACAGACCATGCTCCAGCTGTATCCGCCCACGAGGTAGACGAGCCCATCGAGGGTGCAGCAGCCGGGCCCGCTGCGGCCCTCCAGCATAGCAGTGGATAGAACACTCCACTGGTCGGCCTGCGGGCTGTAGCACTCGACAAGAAGCACGTCCAGGTGACTGGAGCCTGTGGGGCACGAGGAACCAACATCGTCGTCAGCATCATTGTCATCATCAGCGTCATCATCATTAGCGTTATCACCATCGTTATCAGCGTTATCACCATCGTCATCAGCCTTATCATCAGCGTCATCATTATTAGCGTTATCACCATCGTCAGCAGCGTCATCTTCATTAGCGTTATCACCATCGTCATCAGCGTCATCATCATTAGCGTTATCACCATCGTCATCAGCGTTATCATCATTAGGGTTATCACCATCGTCATCAGCGTCATCTTCATTAGCGTTATCACCATCGTCATCAGCCTTATCATCAGCGTCATCATTATTAGCGTTATCACCATCGTCATCAGCGTTATCATCATCAGCGTTATCACCATCGTCATCAGCGTCATCATCATCAGCGTTATCATCATCAGTGTTATGACCATCAGCGTTATCACCATTGTCATCATCGTTATCATCATTAGTGTTATCATCGTCAGTGTTATCATCATCATCATCATCAGTGTTATCACCATCAGCGTCGTCAACATCATCACCACAATCGGTGCCATCACGGTCGTCACCAAAGGGGTCAAGTGTCGGGAGACGCACAGATGCGGGGGCCTAGAAGTGCAGTCCAACACGATCCGTTTCATCCCGTGCAGCCCGCACCATCCAGACTCGCCATCGACGCGTTCAACAACGCGGATTAGCTGCTGCTGCATCCCCCTCCTCCCCCACCTCCTCCTGCTCCTCCACCACCACCACCAACCCTGCTCTCCACGCAGCCCTAATGCACGGAGTTGGCTAATGTAGCGAATTACAGTTTTATGTTCAAGTTATTTATATAATTCGGGCCAGAAGAGTGGGATTTGTGATGCGTGGGGTCATGTCGACAGAAACTCAAAAAAACAAATGCGCGTCCCGGCAATTGCATTGATGCCAATTCTCTCCGCATGATCGCGCGCTCAGCCGAGAGCGTGATAAAAATAAAATAATAATATTATTATCACTACTCACAAAGGCACACGCAGGCATTTTCTCTGTGCGCCGCCACTGTAGGACCTCGCCGACGCAGCGTTCGCGTTGCGTTTGTCGCGCGTCGTTTGGCCCGGCGTCCGACGTTTCGCATCACGTGCCACGGGCAGCTTCGTTGGGAGCTGAACCTCAAAGGGGATGATCAGATTGGGGAAAAATCTCCTCTTCGTGTTTTTTGTAAAATTCATCTTTTGTTCGGGTTTTTTTTTATTTGGGGGGGGGAGGGGAGGTGTGGGGAGCGGCGGTGTAGCGGTTAGCGCTGCGCTATGCTGCACTACGAACCCGGCGACCCGAGTTCGATTCCAGCTCATAGCCAATGCCAGTGACGATTATCTGCACCGGTCCTGGGCCTCCTCTAGGTCGACTCAGCCTCAAATGAGTACCTGGCGCGGTGTGTGAACATCGTCACGAGAGAGACAAAGGTGGCCGGGCGTGGTGCCAGCCACCCACCCCCTCGTGTGCCGTGCCGGCCTTCATAGGTGCTGCTTGCTAACAGCACTTGCCCCAACAGTCTGTTACAAGCTACACGAGGGGAGGGGGGGGGTCATTGTATTTGTCTTTTTTCCTGCGATGATCTCAGACGTAGCTCTGTGATATCCGCTTCACTGCTCTACCAGAGATGGCCCGTCACATGACACCGACATTCCCGTGGCAGGTTGAGGACATCATCATCATCAGTGCCTGAAGGGACGATGACGGAGAGATCAGCAATAGGAGCGTGCAGCTGCAGCAGCTGCAGCAGTAGCAGCAGTAGAAAGCAGTAGCAGCAGCAGCAGCAGCAGCTGGGTAGAGGGGAGGACGTTTTCATCCAGCAGTGGGTCGATCGCGGCTGCTTGCTGCTGCTGCTTGCTGCTACTGCTTGCTACTGCTGCTTGCTACTGCTGCTTGCTGCTGCTGCTTGCTACTGCTGCTTGCTACTCCTGCTTGCTACTGCTGCTGCTTGCTACTGCTGCTTGCTACTGCTGCTTGCTACTGCTGCTGCTGCTTGCTGCTGCTGCCGCCGATGATTACGACGACAATGATAATGACGATGACGGCAACCGTCGGAGGCAAACATCTGGAAGCGACTCGCGCGGTGGTGCTCGCATCGGCCGCAGGAACCCGAGGAGGAGGAGGAGGGGCACGAAATGATTCGCGTCGCCATCTACCCGCGGGTGTGAGAGTGCGATAAAGCGCAGCAGCAGAGGCAGCAGTAGCAGTGGCAGCAGTAGCAGCGGCAGTAGCAGCAGCGGTGGCGGTAGTGGCAGCAGCAGTGGCAGCAGCAGTGGCAGCAGCAGTGGTAGTGGCAGCAGTGGCAGCAGCAGTGGTAGTGGCAGCAGTGGCAGCAGCAGTGGTAGCGGCAGCAGCAGTAGCAGTGGCAGCAGCAGTGGTAGTGGCAGCAGTGGCAGCAGCAGTGGTAGTGGCAGCAGTGGCAGTAGCAGTGGCAGCAGCAGTGGTAGTGGCAGCAGTGGCAGCAGCAGTGGTAGCGGCAGCAGCAGTAGCAGTGGCAGCAGCAGTGGTAGTGGCAGCAGTGGCAGCAGCAGTGGTAGCAGAGGCAGCAGTGGCAGCGGCAGCGGCGGCAGCGGCGGCAGCGGCAGCAGCAGTGGCGGTAGTGACAATGGCAGCAGCAGCGGTGGCGGTAGTGGTAGCAGCAGCAGTGGCAGTGGCAGCAGCAGCAGTGGTAGCAGAGGCAGCAGTGGCAGCAGCAGTGGCAGCAGCAGTGGAAGTGGCAGCAGCGGCGGTAGTGGCAGCAGCGGCGGCAGTGGCAGCAGCGGCGGCAGTGGCAGCAGCGCCGCGTGTAAAAGGGCGCCGCGTTCGCCCGACGTGGAGCGCGCGTCGGCTGGTCCTGAAGGGGCGATGAGTTTTTTGTTAAATGAATGCGAATGTGGAGAGGCTATTGTGTGTGCGCGTGTTCAGTTGTATGTGCGTGTGTTTGATGCTGCTCGCAAACAGCACTTGCCCCTGCAGTCTGTTGAGGCTAGACGGGGGATCTTTGTCTTTGACGTCAACACCGAGTGATGATGAAGACGATCGCGACGATCACAAACACTGTATTTTCTGAATGATCACGATGGTGATGAAGAGCATGAAACACTTGTCTACCGCTCTGCAAGGAGAGGTTTGGGAAAACGATAACGACGATCGCAGCAATGATTTGCATTTACATAGCGTCCGCCACGTTTCAGCAACGTCTCACGGCGCAGTGTTTAATCCCACAGGGGACCCCCCAGCAGCAGCTGTCCCTGTGTGCTCCGGCCGGCATTCGTCTGCCAGCGGCGGGCGATGATTGCTGCCCCGTGCAATTCCAACTTTGGGATGATGACTACTGTGATTATTATTACTATCGGTATATCTACAGTGGATGATGATGATGATAACAAAAATCGTATCATGTATCATCGCGATCGTTATCTATTTTCTGTACCAGTTACTATGATTCCGCTCGTTTATCCACGAAATTCTCACCGAGTCTCATGACCGGTTTTCAGGAGGGTCCTGCCACGTTTTTTTGCGGCGATGTTGCTGCGTCGATCCCAGCTGAGTCATTTGCGGGGTCGTCTAATCCCAAGTTGAACAACTGCGCCCAAATCACTCAACCATCGCCCCCTACTGGCAGGCCGATGCCCGCTGGCGAGTCGAGGTGCCGAGTGGCATTGTGCCGCACAGGGACAGCTGTCCGCTGGGGGGAGGGGTCCCCTAGTCTAATAAAAAAAATAGTTGGGGGGGGGGTGGGGGGGGTGCTCCGTGACCCCCACCCCCCCCCCACACCCCCACCCCCACCACCCCCCCCCCACACCACCCTCACCCCCACCTCCACACCACCCCCACCCCACCCACACCACCCCCACCCCCCCACACCACCCCCACCTCCACACCACCCCCACCCCCCCCCCACACCACCCCCACCTCCACACCACCCCCCCCCACACCACCTCCACCCCACCCCCACCCCCCACCCGCCCCACCACCCCCACACCACCCCCACCCCCCACCCGCCCCACCACCCCTACCCCCCACACCACCCCCACCCCCACCTCCACACCACCCCCATCCCCCCACACCACCCCCACCCCCACACCACCCCCACCCCCCCCACACCACCCCCACCTCCACACCACCCCCACACCACCCCACCCCCACACCACCCCCACCCCCCCACCCCCCCACCCCCACCCCCCACACCACCCCCACACCACCACCACCCCCCCCACCCCCCCACCCCCACCCCCCACCCCCCCCCCATACTTTACCCTTGAGGTGGTTGCCCCCGATGGCGTAGAGGCGGCTGCCGAGCGCGGCGAGCACGTGGATGGCGCGCTTGGTGCTCATGTCGGCACGCTTGGCCCACGCGTTCCTCTCGGGCTCGTAGCAGTGCAGCCACTTCACGTACTCGCCATTGTGAACCCCTCCTGCACGGGGGGAGGGGGGGCGTCGGGAGGGGAGGGGGGTGCGAGGAGGGGGTGTGGGGGGGATTATGTGAAATTCTTTAATGAGCAAAAAAGTAAAACCTTTTGTCGCTACTTTTTCCCCTGCGCTGTGATGTTAGCCGTGACGAGGAAGCCAACTTATGCTACGCGGGGTTCACGGTGAACTGTGCTAACCACTGCGCCACCGCTCCCCGCACTACATAACCACGCACAGACTCACACACACGCACACAGGAACACACTGACCCATGAACACTCACAAATACACTCACCGTCACACACTCAATCACCCACGAAAATAATACAAATAAAAACAAAGATCACCCGTGCAGCCCACACAGCCTGTTGGGGCAAGTGTTGTTAGCGAGTCGCACCCATAAGGGCGAGCACGGTACACGAAGGCGTGGGTGGCCAGCACCACGCCCGGCCGCCTTTGTCTCCCCAGTGCTACACAATGCACCAGGTACTCATTTAAAGCTGAAACGACCTAGGAGAGGCCCAGGACCGGTTCAGATATTTGTAACTGATATTGGAAGTGAGCGGGAATCGAACTCGCGTCGCGGGGCTTGTCGCGCAGTGCGCTCACCACAAACAAAGACAAAGATCCCCCATGTAGCCTTAACAGACTGCAGCAGCAAGTGCTGCTAGCGAGCAGCTGACTCGACCTAGGGCAGGGGCGAGCACTGGTTTAGGTATTCGCAAGCCTGTCAACCCATACGGTTTACCCCGCATTCATGTGCAGGGAAATTGAGTTTTCAGGTCCAGGGAAATTGAGTGATCAGCCGTTTCAATCCGGGTAAACAAAAAAAGTGTTGTCTATTTGTTTGTGTTTCTCCCTTGCGATGGGACTTTGTAGGTTCAACGTTGAGATGTATACGGGCACGGAGTGAGCAATGAGGTCTGAATTGGTCTGTAATAAAGTAGGCACTGATAAGGGGTTGGCAAGTATGATTATAGACAGAGACCCATAGAGATCCACAGAGGCCCATAGAGATACATAGAGACCGACATAGATACATAGAAACCTATAGAGATATATGGAGACCCACAGAAATACATGGATTTAGGAAACCTATCAACCCATATGTTTTACCCCGCATTCTTGTGCAGGGAAATAAAGTTTTCAAGTCCATACGACGTATAGCCGTTTTAATACGGGCCAAAAAAACTGTCTGCATAATTGTTTGTGTCTCCCTTGTGATGGAACTTTGTAGGATTCACGTTGAGATTTCTAAGGGCACGGGGTGACCAGTGAAGTCTGAATTGGTCTGTGATAAGGTAGGGCACTGAGAAGGGGTTGCCAGGTATGCGTTCATCCCTGGCATTACTCCATGTGCGGGAATCGAACTCGCCGGATTTCGCTGCGCGTCGTCGCTCACCACCGCACGACGCACAAACAAGACCACACTGCGACTCAGACGCACTCACTCAAAATAAATTCCCTGTTTCTCGTTCCATCAGAGACACACAACAACCAAACCCTCCTCCCCCGCGCGCCCGCTAGCCGCCTCTTATCAGCGGCTGGGCAGGAACTATAAAGGGTAATTGACTGATCCGGGCCAACGCGTCTGTATCGGTCAATAACTGGGTATTACACCAGTAAAATAACTCATCAATACAGATGTCAACAGCCAGAGCGCGACTCGGTGATGTTGAGACGGGGGGTGGGGGGGGCGGAGGGTAACGGGTGGGTGGGTGGGGGTGATGGTGAGTGGTGGTGAGTGGTGGTGAGTGGTGAAGACGTCGCGCGTCACGTGATGTTGTTCTGCGGCTCTTCACGCCGTGGGGCGCCGTTCAGGAGGGGAGGGGAGGGGGGAGTGGAGGGGGAGGGGAGGGGGGTGACGGGCCGAGTCGGGCACAGGCAGCGGCATGGATACCGTGCAGGGATATAATCCGGGCAGCGTCAGCGCATCACTGCAGCGACTCTACAACGTAACAAACAAATCAACCTGAACGCGTTTGTCAATCACACTGCGTTGCCTTTAAAGGGATATAATATATATAATAGACGACGTTTTCGGGCAATTCTTCTTCTTCATAGTGCTATGAAGAAGGGCCACATCGCCTGACACGTCACACAACGCACACACGCTTCGTCTTGAGGCCACGGCCTCTGGTCGAACGTGTGGATTTGTATTCATGTCGTTAGTTGCCCGAGTGCACCACTGGTGACGCAGCATCACCAACATCGTTTAATAGGCGACGTGAACCTTCATACCCCCCCCCCTCCCCCACCTGGCCACCCATGCCGTGCCGTCCTCTTCCTCCTCCTCCTCGTCGCTCCCTCCTCCTCCCCCTATTCCGTGCTCATCCCTAACCCACCTCCACTTCCTCTACCTCCATCCCCACTTGCTCCTCCTCCACCTCCTCCCTAACCTTCCTCCTCCACATCCTCCTCCTACTTAATCCTCCTCCACCACCTTCTCGCTCCTCCCTAACCCACCTCCATCTCCTCCTCCACAACCTCCTCCTCCATCCCCACTTCCTCCTCCCCCCCCCCTCCTCCCCCCCCCCTCCTCCTCCCCCTCCTCCTCCTGCTCACCGGAGATGAAGATCTTCCCGTCGTGCAGGGCCCCGGCGTGAGCGGCGAGCGCGTGCGGCAGCGCGGCCACGTAGCGCCACTCGTTCTTCTCCAGGCTGTAGCCCTCGGCCGACGAGAGGTAGCCCGTCTCGTTGCGACCCCCGATCACGTACAGCTGGCGGTTGAGGTGGCACGCGAAAAACGACGCGCGCCTACGAACAGGGCGGGGGGTGGAGGGGGCGAGGGGGGGTGGAAGGGGGGGCGAGGGGGACAGGGGGGGCGAGGGGGTGAGGGGGGGGCGAGGGGGGGGGGTGGAAGGGGGGGCGAGGGGGTGAGGGGCGGCGAGGGGGGTGAGGGGGGTGAGGGGGGGCGAGGGGGGGTGGAAGGGGAGGGCGAGGGGGTGAGGGGGGGCGAGGGGGGTGAGGGGGGGTGAGGGGGGGCGAGGGGGGGGCGAGGGGGGGCGAGGTTGGGGGGATGGCGAGGCGGGGGTAGGAGGGGTGCGGGTGGGGGGGGATGGAGGGGGGGGGGGCGAGGCGGGGGATGGAGGGGGGTTCAAACAATGGTTGGAAGGTCAGAGGCTGCAGAACAGAACAAACTCAACATTTTGTTGGATAACACTGTTGTGTGTGTTCCCGGTCTACGCCACGAAGCCGGCGAACCGAGTTCGATTCCCGCTCACGGCCAACACCAGTGACGATTATCTCGATATGCCCTAGGTCGACTCAGCCTCAAATAAGTACCTGGTGTGTTGTGTGCAAACATCGCCACTCGGGAGACAAAGGCGGCCGGGCGTGGTGTTGGCCACCCACCCCTCGTGTGCCGTTCCGGCCTTCATAGGTGGTCGCCCACAACACTTGCCCCAACAGTCTGTTCAGGCTACACGGGGGATCTTTGTCATTTGTCGGGGTCTTAAAATAAATGACGTATACAATAGGCGACGTTTCGAGTAATGGCCCTTCTGCAGAGCACTACAGAGGCAAGAAAGGCAGAGAGACGAGACAGGCAAAGTGGCTCCACCTCTCTATGTGAGTGCTGTGAAAAGGACCATTGCCTGAAACGTCGCATGATAGAGACTTTGTCTTCGCGTGTGAGAACGGCCCAGCGAAGTGGATATCAAAGAGCTACCTGCCGCAACCCTTCGCGTGACCTCCACACACAGTCGAGGGAAAGTCTCCTTCACCCATGTCAGAGTAATGTTCGTCTCATGGCAGAGCTGGAATTTTGACAAAAATGCTGAATTAGTGACCGGGCTGAGACATCAACTCACAATCCCGACACAGTCCATGCGAGTCTCTGGGTGTCTGTGTCAGTCTCTGCGTGTCTGAGTCTCTGCGTCTCTATGGTAATCCCTGGGTGACTATGAGAATCTCTGAGTGTCTACGTGAGTCTCTGGGTGTATGTGTGAGTCTCTGGGTGTCTAAGTGAGTCTCTGGGTGTCTGTGTGAGTCTCTGGGTGTCTAAGTGAATCTCTGGGTGTCTATGTGAGTCTCTGCGTGTTTGTGAGTCTCTGGGTCTCTGCGTGAATCATTCACGGCCGGGCTGAGACCATCAGCTCACTGCACCAGAGAATTTTAGTTTCTTCACCGACGGCTGAAACCCTGGATTCGAACTCAGATCCTCAGCGGTGCCACAGCTCAGCGCTCTGAGCCTCCCTCCCTACTGCGTGGCTCATCCGAGTGCAGCAGCACCACACCTCACGCGGCTGGGTTCGGCTCCGGGTTTAAGCGGCGACGTTCGTGCAGATCTCGCGAGAACTCCTAACTCAGAGGCGCAGGGCGCGTGCCGTGGCCGGGCCAGCGCGCAGCCCTCGTCGATTTCAATTACGCGCGCAATCCACGCGCCGCCATCTGATTTATTTGTCTGCGATCGCTGATTTGTAAAATATACATTTCCCTGTTTTGTTTGCCCAGATCTTCTCTCTCTCCCCTCTCCTCTCCTGGCATAGCCTCTCCTCCCCTGCGCTCTCATCCCCTTCCCTCTCCTCTCTCCTCTCCCCTCTCCTTCCTGCCATCTCCTCCTCTCTCCTCTCCCTCTCCTCACATTTTCTCTCCTCTCCTGCCCTCCCTTTTCCCAATTTTTTTGTCAATAACGAGAAATATCTGTCCCCGTTTAGAACTCCGGTTCGTTCACCATTTCAGCGTCGTTTATATATATTGAAAGTGCGTTAATGAATTAATTAAATATTCTTTTTCTTCTGCACCATTAATTTTCCAAACTGTTACCTCCCCCTCTCCCACCATTTGTTTCCTAACTCCAGCAATACATCACGATATACAACCTTTACAGAGAGCGGGGCCTGGACTGCTCTGCGTTTTGGCCTCGCGAATAGAGATAGGGATAGAGTAAAGCTTAGAGATAGGGCCGGGGTTCGGGTCAGGGTCAGGGTTAGGGGTAGGGATAGGGTCAGGGTTAGGGATAGGGTCAGGGTTAGGGTCAGGAGTAGGGTCAGGGTTAGGGACAGGGTCAGGGTTATGATTAGATAGGGTCAGGGTTAGGGTCGGGTCAGGGTTAGGGTCAGGGTTATGATTAGGGATAGGGTCAGGGTTAGGGTCAGGGTTAGGGTCAGGATTAGGGTCAAGGTTAGGGTTAGGGTCGGGGTTAGGTAGCATCGGGGCCCGAACCTCGCCCGTTCGCCTCCACACGTCTGCCCCCCCTCCCCTCGCGTTGCCACCCCCACTCACCTCTCCTGCATGGGAGGAAGTTGCACCCACGTGTTGAACCGGGGGTCGTAGCGACTCACAAAGTTGGTGCTGTGCTTCCCTGCGGCAACACAAAGTTCATTTAACCACGTGGGAAGCCACAGTAGTCATCAACACGAACTCGTTCACTCGGGATGGAGGGCCCCGCATGTCATCATCTGTTCTGTTCATGTTACGGTATGTTGAGCAATTAGCGCGCGATTATTAAGTGGGAGGAAACCGGTGCACCCAGAGAGATCCGCATGCGTGCGCATGCGAGGGAGCAATACTCGATCACGTCGGGATGGTGACATGCGGAGATTGGTCGACACGTTGCTGCACCGCCATCTATTGACGTGCCAGTGTATGGCGCCTCTTCTACGCCCAACTCAAACGGAGTTTTGCAACTTTGCTGCGGTGATCTTCCAACCCTCGCTGGATTACAGGCGGGGGCGGAGGGGGGTGAGGGGGGCTGGAGGTGGACAGCTCCTCGTCATCCTCCTCCAAAATTTGGTTGCCACCTATCCCGGTTTTCCCAGGATTGTTCTCTAATTGAGAGGACAGCTGCTGTCCTGTCAGTCTTGCGGGGGACATTCAAAGCACCGGTTCCTCTCCGTGGCGTCACAACAACAACCAGAGCAGCAGCAGCAACATCAACAACGATCCACCACCACTCAGTCCACGCACTCGCACGTGCATCGGCCCTCTTCTGCTATTGCGAGGCATCGATCGCGGTACAATCGTCTTTGGATGTTTATTGACGCTCGCTTGAAAGCCTCTCGGCAACCAAACAACACCCCCCCCGCCTCGCATCTCATCGCAAACATTTGAAAGGGCCCCGCGGTGGCAGCCGCCCCTGTGCGGCGCGCGTGACCTGGGCGCGCGGCCTCCAGGTCGGCATCCGTGTGCCGGTAGGAGGGCCGAAGACCGCCGCTGTGGGTTCAGAAATCCCAACGGAGCCATTTGACACGTTCCTTGCCACGACCCGCCCAGGAGTTGTGGTCCCCTAAATCCTCTCCCTCTCCCGCCTACCCCCTCGCCCCCTTCCTGGATGCGGCTCTGCCCATTAGGGGCGGCGGGGGGGGGACAGAGGGGCCCTGTCGCCAACGCACGCGGCGTTTCGCTGCGGTCAGCGCCTTTCCAGCTCAGCGACGTCCGCTTTGGTTGCGCGTTATCATCGCCGCTGCCGCCGCCGCCATGCGCCTCTGCATTGCTGCATAGCGCAGTGGCTCCATCGCTCTGGTCTCTATCTCTCTCTATGTTGCTGTGTGTGCTACACAAGGAAGGGCCATTGCACGAAACGTCATCCGTTATAAACGTTTGCTCGTAAGGCCGCTCAGACGCGCACACTGTTGTGAAGGAACGCGTTGAGTTGTTGTTATTGTTGTTGTTTGTTCGTGCACCACTGCCAACGCAGCAGCACCGAGGGGGGTGGGGGAGGGGCGGGTGGAGGGAATGACAGGGGAGGGTTCAGTGAACGGAGAGTCGGGGAAGATGAGTCGAAGCAGAGTCGAATCGGAGTGTTCGCGTGCGTGACTGTGTGTGACTGTGTGTGTGTGACTGTGTGTGTGACTGTGTGCGTGACTGTGTGTGACTGTGTGTGTGTGACTGTGTGTGTGTGACTGTGTGTGTGTGACTGTGTGCGTGACTGTGTGTGACTGTGTGTGTGACTGTGTGTGTGACTGTGTGCGTGACTGTGTGTGTGACTGTGTGTGTGTGACTGTGTGTGTGTGACTGTGTGCGTGACTGTGTGTGTGACTGTGTGTGTGTGACTGTGTGTGTGTGACTGTGTGTGTGACTGTGTGTGTGTGACTGTGTGTGTGTGTGACTGTGTGTGTGTGACTGTGTGTGTGTGACTGTGTGTGACTGTGTGTGACTGTGTGTGTGTGACTGTGTGTGACTGTGTGTGACTGTGTGTGTGTGACTGTGTGTGACTGTGTGTGGCTGTGTGTGTCTGTGTGTGGCTGTGTGTGTTTGTGTGTGACTGTGTGTGTCTGTTCGTGGCTGTGTGTGACTGTGTGTGGCTGTGTATGGCTGTGTGTGTGACTGTGTGTGACTGTGTGTGGCTGTGTGTGTCTGTGTGTGACTGTGTGTGGCTTGTGTGGCTGTGTGTGACTGTGCGTGGCTGTGTGTGAGTGACTGGATGAGCGAGTGGGTGAGTGAGCGAGTGAGTGGGTGAGCGAGTGTGTGAGTGAGTGAGCGAGTGACTGGGTAAGCGAGTGGGTGAGCGAGTGGGTGAGTGAGTGAGCGAGTGACTGGGTAGCGAGTGGGTGAGTGAGTGAGCGAGTGACTGGGTGAGCGAGTGGGTGAGTGAGTGAGCGAGTGGCTGGGTGAGAGAGTGGGTGAGTGAGTGAGCGAGTGACTGGGTGAGCGAGTGGGTGAGTGAGTGAGCGAGCTAGTGGATAAGTGGATCACTGAGAGGTTGGGCGAGCTGGAGAGTAAGTCGACCGCTCGCTGTCTGTGGGTGAGTCAATCACTGGGCGGGTGACTGTGCAGGTTTGAGTACGCGGGTGAGTCGAGTCTCACCGTCCGGGTTCCAGCGATCCTCTCCGCCGAGAACGAAGAGGAAGTTCTCCACCTCCACCACGCAGTGGTGCGCGCTGTTGTAGGGCATCCCTGCGTGACACGGGGGCCGGGGGTCAAGGGCAAGGTCAGGCGGGGGGTGGAGGGGGCATTGGCGCGTGGGCACGGGGCAGGCGGGACGCGAGCAGAGTTCCGATTGGTAACAGCAACCATCGTGTCGTGTGTTCACCAGCATTGTGACATCCGCTGCTGCATTAGCAATGCAATTGGTTGATCCCCCAACTCGATACTGCTGAGGATGGAGCGGTGGCGCTGTGGTTAGCGCACCGCCCCTTACGCCACCCCCCCCCCCCCCCACGTTGCCTATGGACACCAGGACACCATACATCTCATGGTGCCGAGCACCAACGTTACTCGGCATGAGCCGTCAGATCCTCTGAAGAAGCTCAGCAGGGTTATGGACCCTGGATAGCGCTTGGATCTACGAAACATTGGCGCTGAACAGGAGTCATTCAAGCTGCTAGGAGGCTACGTTACGGGCAGCAGAGGGCATGACAGAGGGGGAAAAGACTACGCATTGTTGTACTGTACTGTGCGTCTATGCTCCCTGGAGTGTTGGAAGTGAACCAAGCAATGCATCTCAATCTTCGCCAAGCAGCGCTGTCCGGGGTGCTGAAAACCGGCGGTCAAATCGACCACCCCAGTGACTCGCCGCGTCGCCGAAGGCCTCATCCAGCAGTGGACTGACGGTGGTGGCTACGCTGCTGCACGCGGCTGCCTGTAACCCAGCACCGTGTGCAGGCAGCGGCGAGGGTTGGTGGGTCACCGCACGGATCTTGCCGTGAAACTCCCTTCCCGTGGGCGTCGAAGAGGAGCCGTACACCTGACTTGCCACGGTACAGCAAAGTGTGGACTAATCGCCATCTGTCCCCATCTGTACGGGGGTAGAGTGGTGGTGTCCCATCGCGCGTGCGTGGGGTTTCTCCGGGAGCTCCGGTTTCCTCATCATTAAGTGGCTGAAACCATCGTAAAATAAAAACACCGATGCGGGGGGAGCGGTTGCGTAGCGCTTAGCGCCGCTGTGATACAAACCTCGGCGAACGGAGTTCTATTCCCGCCCACAGCCACCTCCACGAGTGACGATTATCTGAACCAGTCGTGGGCCTCCTTTTGGTTGACTCGGCCACAAATGTGAACCCGATGCGACGTGGTAGTGGTGCTGGCAACCCACCCCCTCGTGTGCCGTGCCGGTCTTCATAGGCGAGTGCTACTCGCTAACAGCCCTTGCCCCCAACAGCCTCTCAAGGCTATACGGGGGATCTTTGTCTTTGTGCGTACACGCGTGTACAGGCGCCGGGTGTTGGTAACGCATTGTGTTGCACGTGACTACACCAGACCCGCTCCGCGTGCACGCGCGCGCGCGCCGCGCATGCGTAATGAGCTCATCGGCGCGAGACCCTAACTTTGGGGGGGGGGCAGGGGGAGGTGGTGGGGGAGGGAGGAAGGAGGGAAGCAAGGGGCGGGTGGTGGAGAAAGATGGGATGGGGGCGAGGGGCGGGGTTGTGGAGGGTGGGGAGAGGGGGGGTGAGGGAGGGGAGGAGGGGGGGTGATGCTACATTGACGCCGTTACGAACACTCCCGCCTGCCCTACCCGCTTCCATCCCACCACATCCCTCCCTCCCCCTTTCATCCCACCATCTCCCACCCTTGTTCCACCCCACCGCATCCCTCCCTCCCGATTCTGAGACGGGCAGTCCCGCCGAGACAGTGGCAGGCAGGCGGATAGCACCGCGCGGCTCTACGCGGCTCCGTGGCGGCTCCCGTGAGAGCTTCACTGTCCACACGGCCGTGCTCGCCACCAATGTGGGCAGACGTGGCCGGGAACCGAACTCAGGTGGCCGGCTGCATTGCGCAGTGCAATTCACTGCGCCACCGCCCCACCCTTTCAGCTCGATAATAATATTTGAACAAGCACTCCACTAGGTCGACTCAGCCCTAAATTATACCTGCTGCGGTGCGTTACCATCAGCGTTGGGAAGACAAAGGCGGGCGGGCTTGGTTGATGTTGGCCACCCAGCCCCTCGTGCGCTGAGCCCACCGTCTTAGGCGCGACACGCTAACAGCACTTCACATCGAGAAATCCACGTGTCTATACTGTACTCGTGTCGATCGTCTCCGCGTGTCCCGCGCACTCTCACAACACGAGAGGGAGCGAAGGGAGAGCGGGGAGACAGTGGCACGGTGAGAAGAGGGCCAAGCGGTGATTGCCGAGTCACGGGGATTGGAGAGTCGCAGGTAAAGAAAGTCATGGGACAGAGAGGGGATTGGAGAGTCACGGGGATTGGAGAGTAATGGGCTGGAGAGGCATGGGATGGAGAAAGAGTCACGCCGTGAAGAGGCATGGGGTAGGGGATAGGGCAGTCACGGGGATTGGAGAGTCATGGGATGGACAAGGAGTCGGGCGCTGGAGAGTCACGTGATCGAGAGTAGATTTCAGAGTTGGGGGGCTGGAGAAGCGGGACGACTCTTAGTAGGGGGACGTGGGGGGGGGCGATTTATGAGGTGGGTGGTTGGAGGTTTGGCTTTGCGTGGCGGGGGGGGGGGTTATGGGGGGATTGTAGGGGCGGGGGGAGGGGTTGTAAAGGACGGTGGGGGCGGATTTTGCAAAGAGCCCCCCCCCCCCGCCCCCCACTTAATGATACCGCCTGCCAGAGCGGTGCCCGTGCAGCCCCGCCACATTAACGTGCTGCATTATGCACCGCCGCCCCCCAAAGTCATTAATTAGTTTCACCCAGATGCCTCCGTAGCCGCGCATAGTTAATTGCCCTATCTCGCAAAGTTCATTAGTCTTTAATATTAAAGATGCATGGAGGAAGAGAGCGAGAGCTCATATGTGTGTCCCACTCCCTGTCTCGTGTGTGTGTCTGTGTCTCTTTGTGTGTCTCTTCGTCTCGATGTGTGTGTATTTGTTTTGTGTGTGTCTCTCTGTGTCTGTGTGTGTCTCTCTGTGTTTGTGTGTGTGTCTTTGTTTTGTGTGTCTCTTCGTCTCGACGTGTGTATCTTTGTTTTGTGTGTGTCTCTCTGTGTCTGTGTGTGTCTCTCTGTGTCTGTGTGTCTGCATGCACGTGTGTTTCTCTCCGTCTGTGTGTCTTAGTCTTTTAGTCTCTCTCTTTGTCTGTGGTGGCGTCTCTGTGTGTGTGTCTCTCTCTGTTTTCGTCTGTGTGTCTCACTGTGTCTGTGCGTTTGTCTCTGTGTGTGTGTCTCTCTCTCTCTCTGTGTCTGTGTGTCTCACTGTGTCTGTGCGTTTGTCTCTGTGTGTGTGTCTCTCTCTCTCTCTGTTTGTGTCTGTGTGTCTCACTGTGTCTGTGTGGGTGTCTCTGTGTGTCTCTCTTGTTCAATGATCGCGTGACGTCCTTGTTCGCAAGAGTAAGCCATTGTGAGCCTATTGAAAACAATTACTCGCTAAGTCATCATCTTCATCATGGTGACGATTATATGATTTCGTTAAACCGATTATTATTGTCATAATCATGTTCAATCATAATCATCATTTAAATGTCGAGCATCATCATACACATGGTGGGGATGATATGTAACGATCAACATACAGTAACTCGATATTTTTAGTTCAAATCATATCATCCTCAACTATTTAAATTATGATTTCATATTATCATGATACATCATGTACCAGCTATTCGCGGTAACGGTGGAAGGGGCACCCCCCCCCCCCAGTGGCAGCTGTCCCTGTGCGGCACGAGGCGACTCCAGCACGTGGCCGTCAGTCGTTCTACTCGAGGTGATTCCAGTTGATTATATTATGTTCATGATCGTCATCATGATTATTATTTCATCATCATCATAATCATCATTTGCCTCTGATGATGGTGGTAGTGGTGGTGAAGATGGCGATGATAACAATGTGATAAAAAAAAAACATTGAATGTGTAACGGTGATGATTCAGTTTCTTCTGACTGATTATGAAAAAGGAACACATGAACCAGAGATTATGATGATAACGATGATGATAATGAATGTCCCTGATGATTATGATGATAATGGTGTAAATAAGTGATGGTATAGAAGGTAAGGCAGTGACACTGATGATAATGATGGTATATAAGTGATCATGTTGATAGGTACTGCAGTTGCTGATGATGTGTTGTTTGCTGCTGCAGTGATCATAAAGAAGGTTAGAATATTATGCTGCTGATACTGCTGCTGCTGATGCTGCTGATGATGCTGCTGAAGATGATGATGCTGATGATGATGCTATTGATGATCATTATGATGATGCTGCTGCTGATACTGCTGCTGATGATGATTATGCTGCTGATGATGACGATGCTGCTGCTGATGGTCATGATGATGATGCTGCTGCTGATACTGCTGCTGATGATGATGCTGCTGATGACGATGATGATGCTGCTACTGATGATGATGCTGATGATGCTGATGATGATGACGATGATGACGATGATGTGGGATCGAGGGCGGCTGTGGCAGAAGATAAACAGCGCGTCTCGTGGCCTAACAGTGATGGGGGTGTTGTGTGTAGACGTGTGTGTCTGTGTGTGTGTGTACACGTTGTGTGTCTACGTGTGTGTCTGTGTGTGTGTACACGTTGTGTGTCTACGTGTGTGTCTGTGTGTGTGTACACGTTGTGTGTCTACGTGTGTGTCTGTGTGTGTCTGTGTGTGTGTCTACGTGTGTGTCTGTGTGTGTACACGTTGTGTGTCTACGTGTGTGTCTGTGTGTGTGTGTACACGTTGTGTGTCTACGTGTGTGTCTGTGTGTGTGTGTACACGTTGTGTGTCTACGTGTGTGTCTGTGTGTGTGTACACGTTGTGTGTCTACGTGTGTGTCTGTGTGTGTGTACACGTTGTGTGTCTACGTGTGTGTCTGTGTGTGTCTGTGTGTGTGTCTACGTGTGTGTCTGTGTGTGTGTACACGTTGTGTGTCTACGTGTGTGTCTGTGTGTGTGTACACGTTGTGTGTCTACGTGTGTGTCTGTGTGTGTCTGTGTGTGTGTCTACGTGTGTGTCTGTGTGTGTGTACACGTTGTGTGTCTACGTGTGTGTCTGTGTGTGTACACGTTGTGTGTCTACGTGTGTGTCTGTGTGTGTGTGTACACGTTGTGTGTCTACGTGTGTGTCTACGTGTGTGTCTGTGTCTGCTCCTCCTCGCGCTGACTCAACCCCAGATGGGCTCCACCTGCCGCCCCGCACGCTAAGCGAGAGTGAAAGTTTGTGTGCGAGTGTGTGTGAGTGTGTGAGTGTGTGTGAGTGTGCGTGTGAATGTGTGTGAGTGTGTGTGAGTGTGCGTGTGAATGTGTGTGTGAGAGTGTGTGAGTGTGTGTGAGAGTGTGTGTGTGTGTGTGAGTATGTGTGTGTGAGTGTGAGGGGGGTGGCGCAGTGGTTAGCGCGCTTGGCTACGAACCCGGCCACCCGAGTTCGACTCCCGCTCTACGGCCAACATCCGTGACGAATATCTGAACCGGTGCTGGGCCTCCCCTAGGTCGACTCAGCCTCAAATGAGTACCTGTGTGCAGTGCGTAAAACATCAGCACCGGTGGGACAAAGGCGGCCGGGCGTGGTGTTGGCCACCCACCCCCTCGTGCGTTCGTGCCGGCCTTCACGGGTGCTGCCCGCTCACGACACCTGCCCCCGTGGGGTGAGAACCCTTCCGCTCACCGGTCAGGATCTTCCACGTTTTGCGCGAGTCGTCGTAGAACTGCACGAGGTTGCTGGGCAGGCGGTCGGGTCCCGGGGGGAGCCCCCCCAGCAGAAGCAGAGACTTCTTGGTGCCTCGTATCCTGCGCGGGGTCGGGGCGGTGGGGGGGGGGCGACACGCGGACCCCCCGGGCCAATCATGAGATCGGGTGAAGGAGATTCTTGTGAATGAAATCAATGAATGAGATCGAGAGGGGGTGAGGTCAATGGATGAAAACTATGAGACCATGCGACGACTATTTTTATTTGACCAGGTGAGGCCCTCACTGAGCTATGAAGTTATTTTTCAGAAGCAACCCGACTCTCACAAGTGACAGCTGAACGAAGTAGCTCGTGTGGAAATCTGTAGAAGTCAAATACTCGAGACGTACGGTGTTTCTAAATGTGGAGGGGAAAACCCGGAGGACCCGAAGAAGAATCTATTCGACCACGGGGAGAGAGGCACGTAAACTCCAAATATACAGCAGCAGGCATCAAGGTCGGTATCGAACCCACGACCACCTGTACACCAGGCGAGGGAGTTAACATCTCATAGCCACCGGGTGGATGAGATTAACGAATGAGATCGTGTGGAAAGGATCAGGCGAATGACATTCTATTGAATGAAATCAAGTGAGTGAGATCGTTTGATTGTCGTTCCTCAGAAGAGAATGGCTGCGGTAATGATGATGATTGTGATCGTGATGTTTACCACAGCACTCTCAAAGTATCATCATCTCCACTGCCGTCAATCACCATCATTATCATCACGTACGATTATATCAACATTCTTACGATAGAATTATGAACATCTTCATCACGACCACCACCACCACCAACACCATCAACCACCACCACAACCAACCACCACCACCACCAACAACCACCGCTAACCACCGCCACCCACCGGGCGCCCTCCCTCCCTCCCACCCACCTGCTCGCCTCGCTCTGCATGCAGTGCTGCCGGAAGGGCATCAGGTGGTAGTTCATGGCGTCGAGCAGCATCTTCTGGCACGCGGGCTCGGAGCGCATGAAGTCGACGCTCTGCACGTGCTCCACGAGGTCGTGTGCCGGGATGAGCGCGAAGCGCAGGCGGCGCATCAGCTCGGGGGCTCGCCGCATGCGTCCCTCGCGCTCGTGCTCGAGCCACATGACGGCCATCTGGAAGAGGGCCAACTCCGACTCGACGGGCGGCGGGGGCCCATCGAGCACTGCGCACACCTCGCCCAAGCCCAGCGCCAGCACGTCCTCCACGAAGTAGCGGTTCGCGAGTTTGCGTGTCTCGTCCAGGTCGTGCGCCGCGGCGATGCGGCTCACCTGTGGAGAGCAGCAGCAGCAGCAGGAGCAGCAGCAGGAGCAGCAGCAGCAGGAGCAGCACCAGCACCAGCAGGAGCAGCAGCAGGAGCAGCAGCAGGAGCAGCAGCAGCAGGAGCAGCAGGAGCAGCAGCAGCAGAGCAGCAGCAGGAGCAGGAGCAGCAGCAGGAGCAGCAGCAGCAGGAGCAGCAGCAGCAGCAGGAGCAGCAGCAGCAGGAGCAGCAGGAGCAGCAGGTCAACGTGGGTCGTTCGCCGTTGTCGGCTGTCTATTTTATTATACAGAATGGCCCAAAAGTTAGGACACATCGGGTTACTATATTTATTTTAACAAATCACCTCGGGTTAGTTCATTTATTGTAGCAAATGTTCGAACTCACTTCCATGAACATTCACGCGTGCATGAATTATCTTTTGAAATTCATTTCGGAACTTATTTTAAGTTTGCGGGTTTAATCTCTGAACTGTCATCCGTTTTGTGTCGTTGTCTCAATTCATTCGCAGGGCTTTCTTGGTCGGGTTTTGTAAAAACGATGGATGTGAAGAAAAGGAGATATTCATCACGAAAATAGTCGAAACAATATTAACTTAAAGAATAAATAATTAAATGTTATCATGCCAGTGTTCGAATCAATGAAATAACCCTCTGTGTCCTGACTTTTGGGCCGCCCTGTATATGTTTACAAAATATAAACATTGTTGCTACGTGCTTCGAAGAAGGGGGAATTGGCCCCGCAGCGCGCGCTGACTCGCCGTCTGTTGTGACGAATTCCACGTTACTATGACAGGGGGCACGTACATCCAGGCAGAAGCCACTGCCGTGTGACTTCCCCTTCAATGCGTCCGGTGAGACAGGACTAAGTCAGCAAGCAGTACGTGCTGTGCAGAAGGGGCATTACCCGAAACGTCGCCTCGTATTTGTGTTTACTTGATTTTGGCCGTGGTTGGGAATCAAACTCACGAGCCGGGTTTTCTAGCGGACTGCGCTAAGCGCTGCACCACCACTCCGCCCCTGACTAGACAAATGCCATCATGGTCATCATCACGATCATTAGTCCAATTGATCTCACTATTTATAATTATTGGTAACTAATGGATAACTGTTCACACGCCAATTTCAGAACTTTTAATCGGGATTTGTTTTTAAAGAATGCAAATCAACAGGCGCAGTCTTCAATATCATCAACCACTCTCTCTCTCCTTGCCTCTCTATGTATGTGCTACGATAAAGGGCCATTGCCTGAAACGTTGCCTCCTGTACACTGTTCCGTTTCAGGCCCCACACACACACACAGGGTGTTGTCGTTCGCTGTGCTTGTGCACAGGAGCCCGTGAGTTCGATCCCGCGGCCCGGCGATGCCTGTTGTATATTTGGAGTCCGCGTGGTTCGCTCTCTCTCCCCGTGGTGGTGGCGGGGATTGTGTATCCGGGTTCCTCCGGTATTGCCCCGCTCCTCCTCCACATGTATAAACAACACGCGTTTAAGTTAGTTGGCAACAGCTATAAATTATTCCCACGTGTGATGACGATGATGATGTTGTTATACGCCCCTTAGATGGTGAACTATCATCACGAGTGGTGATGGTGATGATGACATCAGCCCCTTCGATGGTAAGCTATCATCACGAGTGGTGATGGTGATGATATAAGCCTCTTCCATGGTGAACTATCATCACGCGTGGTGATGGTGATGGTGATGACATCAGCCCCTTCGATGGTGAACTATCATCACGCGTGGTGATGGTGATGATGATGACATCAGCCCCTTCGATGGTGAGTTATCATCACGATTGGTGATGGTGATGATGACATCAGCCTCTTCCATGGTGAGCTATCATCACGCGTGGCCAGGTCGCCTCCGACCAAAGAGCTCGTCGCTCAGTTTACGCGACTTTGGCATCGCCGAATCACGGTGCCGTGGACGTCGCCACGACGTCTGCAGGCGTCCTCACCTGCTTGTAGTTCTGCACCGAAATCTGCCCGTTGAGGAACTGCGCGCACAGCTTGGTGACCGAGGGCATGTGCAGCTGCTTCCCTGCCACGAGCACCTCCTCCACCGTGTCGAGCGACAGCGTCATGTTGGACGTGTAGATGTACTCCAGCACCAGCGCCAAGCCTCCGGACGGACATCCCTGCAGCACCACGCTCGCGATGAGGCCCGACTTGGCCGACGCCGCCGCCGCTGCTGCCGCCGCTGCGGCTGCTGCCGCTGCGTTAATTGCACCACCACCGCCGCCGCCGCCACCGCCACCGCCGCCACCTCGACCTTCGGACGAAGGCGAGCCATGTGGCGTCACCTTATCCTTGCAGTCATGTGGAGACGAAGCTCCGCTCACGCTGCCACTGCCGCTGCTGCTTAGTCCGGCGACACCGCCGCCACCGCCACCACCACCGCCTCCTCCTCCACCGTGACCCGGCGTGGAGAAGGGGTCCGAGGGCCGGTGGAGGCCGTTCTCGAAGAGCGCGCGGAAATACTGCGAGCACGAGGCGAGCACGGCCTTGTGGCAGCGGAACTCCTGCCCGTGCGCCAGCAGCGTGACGTCGCACATGATCTGCCGCCGCCACAGGAGGTTGAGGCCGCTCAGGACGCTGTCGCTGTGCGAGGGGTCGAACGTCGAGGTGCGGTCAGCCGACTTGGACATGGCTGCGTCGCGGTGTGGCGCGGAGGACGAGGAGGACGAGGTGGTGGTGGTGGTGCTGACTGGATGGATGTTGCCTGGAGGGGAGGGGATTGACAAAAAGCAAACCAAGCAAAAGTGTGAAATCCCAAGCGGCTCAAGGGGTGTCATGAATAATTCGGGGGTGCATTGACTCTACGTTTGAATTCAGATCGCCCGTAACCACAACGAGCTCATTAACAGAAGCAAAGCCAATAACTCTCCGTCGCTGTCTGCTCTGCACCTCTCTCTTACCCGACTACGTCTCCGTCTCGTGCATGCGTCTCTCCTTTCATCTCCGCTACAAGTGGGCTGGCCCCAATGTTTTATCGTAAATCAGAAAGATCGCAGCACTTTATGTGAAACCGTCTGGCAATGCACAGCGCCTACAATATCCACGTGAGCCCCGCGTGAACCGTGGGGGAAAAGTTTCAACAAGCAGCGGTGAGGATGGCTGCGCAGTAGCAGGTCGAGTCTGTGAACGCACGGGGTTCACGTCCGTGTTCACAACCACTGAGCGAAGGTGAATGTGTGGTGGTGGTGGGGGGGGGGGGGGGTCGCTCACTCTCCTCTGCTGCACCCACAGTCTGGAACTCCCCGCTTGTCAAACTTATGCCCCATTAGGTGCCAAATATTTGACCGATATCGCTGCGACGTAGCTCACTGCATCATCTCGAGGCTCCTGTGACGGTAGTCGCGTACCCTGGCACGTGCCGTGCCTCACACATATACACGCGGAGGCCTCCGTCGTTACATCAGCAGCAGCAGCAGCCATGCTCTATCAACTGCTGGATGAAGGCCACCCACAAGAAGCCCTTTTCCTCATCCCTCCATCTCCGCCGTGAACGTCCTCCTGAGGTGGCGTGTCGCCTCCTCATCCTCCTTTGGCTGCCACTCCGCGGTGGGTCTCGACCACCCGGGCACCACTGTCTGTCCCTTGTGCCCACGTCGCGTCCTGCCCAACTTCTCCCAACAACCACCGCTGCGCTTGCCCTGAGCTCCACCCGCGCGGGTCCTCTCATCCTCCTGCCCCCACGACGAGTCCCTCTCGTCTCAGTGACATTCACACGCGCCTCCGCTTAGCATGGTTGGCTACGTACGGTGCGAAAGAAGTTCAACATACAAAAAAAACAAAGACAAAGATTCCCCGTATAGCCTGAACAGACTGTAGGGGCAAGTGCTGTTAACGAGCACCTATGAAGGCCGGAACGGTACACGAGGGGGTGGGTAGCCAGCACCACGCCCGACCGCATTTGTCTCCACAGTGGCGATAATTACACAACACACCAGGTACTCATTTGAGGCTGAGCCGACCTAGGGGAGGCCCAGGACCGGTTCAAATAATCGTCACTGGTGTTGGCCGTGAGCAGGATTCGAACCCGGGTCGCCGGATTCATAGCGCAGCGTAGCGCTAACCGCTCCACATATATACATCAACATACATCAACATACATACATCAACATACATCAACATACATACAGCAACATACATCAACATACATACACGCAGCAAACATCTCCCCGTGACATCTTTGCAAGGCTCAAATGAGCGTGGAAGGGGACTCGTCTCCCGTTTACAGCCACGTGACATTTGTGGGAATTCCACATTCCTATGACGGGGGAGGGGGGGCTTAGTAATTCCTTAGGTTCAGGTTCACATAGCGGAGGGGGAAAATTTGTGAATGAAGGTTTTTCATTTTTACTCGTCAAGGAATTTCACATAAACACCCTCGCATCCCCCCGCCCCTCAAGCCCCCCCCTCCCCCTGGACCGCCCCCCCCCCCCACGCGACACCCCCCCCCCCCCACGCGACACCCCACGGCGTTTCTTGCCAAATTAAAAGTCCCCGCCGGGCTGCTCGCTCGAATCTTGCTGCAGGAAACCCAAACTCATCGAGCGCGAAGCGTGGGGAGCTGAGGTTTGAAGCGGAGTGGGGGGGTGGGAGGAGTCGAGAAGGGGGGGGGGAGGGGCGATGAGGGAAGTCAAGAGGTGGGGGGGAGACGATGGGGGGGGGGAGTCGAGAGGGGGGGGCGATGGGGGGGGGGGAGTCGAGAAGGAGGGGAGGGGCGATGGGGGAAGTCAAGAGGGGGGGGGGGACGATGGGGGGGGGGGGGAGTCGAGAGGGGGGGCGGTGGGGGGGACTCAATAAGGGGTGGGGAGACGCTGGGGGGGGGGGGTAGAGTCGAGAGGGGGGGGGCGAGAGTGTGGAGGGAGAAGAGAGGAGATAGCAAAGGGAGAGGAAAGGGAAGAGGGGGGGGAGATTGGAGCAGAGAGAGGAGAGAGCCAAGAGAGGGGAGGAGAGAGCAAGAGAAAGCGAGGGGGCAGATGCAGTGTGGGGATAAGGAAAGGGGAGAGAGTGGAGGGCAGACGGTAGAGTGGAGAGATGAGAGGAGAGCGGATACAGCGCAGGGAGATACGGGGAGAGAGAGAGTTGGGGTAAGAAGGAAGGGAGAGAGAGGAGAGAGAGAGGAGAGAGAGAGAGAGCGCGTCCCGCCGTGGGCCTGTGCTGACACCCCTCGCGGTGTTCTACAGCTCGCGCGACACGCGTGCGCGTCACACGCACGCACGCACAGACAAAGCGCCCCCGTATAGCCTTCGCAGACTATAGGGGCAAGTGCTGTAAGCGAGCACCTATGATGTCGGCACTCACACAAAACACAAAGACGCACTCACACCAAAGATCCCCCATATAGCGTTAGCAGACGGGTGGGGCAAGTGCCGACAGCGAGCCACCGATTAATGCCACCACACAGCACACGAGGAACTGCGAGCTACAACGACAAATATCACCCGTATAGCCACGACTCGACGGTTTAGGGCAAGTGCTTATAGCGAACATCTATGAAGGCAAGAATGGGGGGGGGGGGGGGTGAAGCGGACAGGACCCACGCCCGGCCGTCTTCGTCTCCCCAGTGCCGATGTGCACACACCGCAATGTTAAGGCTGAGTCGACCTGGGACAAGCCAAAGACGGCTTCAGATGTTCGTCAGTGATGTCGACCGTGGGCGGGAGGGCAACTCGGGTGCTCCCCGTGCATATCCCCACAGAGATAAAGATCCCCCGTATAGCCCTGACATGAATTTGGGCCAAGTGCTGTTCGCGAGTAGCACCTATGAGGGCCGGCACAGCACACGAGGGGGAGGGTGGCCAGCACCACGCTCGGCCGCCTTTGTCTCCCCCATCCCCCAACACACATGGGAATTCAACAAAGACCCGCTACCACCAATACCGACAAACACCACGAACATCACGACCATCACCACCATCACCACCATCACCACCATTACTACCATCACCACCATCACTACCATCACCACCTAAACCATCACCACCATAACTACGATCACCACCATAACTACCATCACCACCTACACCATCACCACCATCACTACCATCACCACCTACACCATCATTACCATCAACACAACCAACACATCATCATTAACACCATCGACAAACACTACGACCAACGCCATTATCAACACCATCAATTCCACAATCATCATCACCATCGCCATTCTTAACATCATCAGCATCAACATCATCACCATGATCACCGATACCTCCATAATCACCATCATCATCACCATAAATATAATCACTACTATCATCATCATCACCACCACCAGAATGAACACCACAATCACCACGACCAAAACCACCATCGGCACCACCACCCCATCATCATCATCACCTGGTGTGTGGACTTTCATCTCACGAGTGGTGCACTCTGTATATTCGGAATATATCATCATCATCATTAGTGTAGTATTTCCAGGGCTGACCAGCGTGGTGAAGTATGGCTGTAAGCGGTGCCAACAATATTGTCGTGTGTTGCTGTTACTACTGTTAAAGACCAATTCTAAACAAAACAACGTAGAACGACAGAGGGGACATTGCTAACCGCGCCAGAGAGAGAGAGAGAAGGGGGTAAGAAGGAGGAGAGCAGAGCGTGACATCTTTTGTGAAAGCTTTCATTAAAAAAGGGGGGGGGGGCACATAAACCAAAGCATTGGAAAAAAACGGAATGATGAACGAAGCAAAGTGCCGACTACACCGGGCATCTTCTTGTTTCCTCTGATCTTAAAAAGAGAGAGAGAGGCAGAGACGGTGGGAGAGGTAAAGAGAGAGGGAGGGAGGGAGAGAGAGGGAGGGAGGGAAAGCGATCTCCTCTCAATGGGCTGTGCGTGTCTCTGGGGTCTGCAGGCTCCGAGTGACCCGCAGTGAACTCCCCGCCACGCGGGGTGAGAGAGCGAGTCGCGACCCGGGTCTGTGTCCCAGCTAAGGGTGGAATAAGTAAATAAATAACAATGACGACGATGATGGTGATGATGATGGTGAGGATGGACTGGCAACCTAAGGGATGGAGGTTGCCCCAGAGGGCAATGAATCTGGGGAGATGGAGCGGTGAAATCGGATTCAGATTGTCTGCCGGTACCAGGACTACCGTCTTGCCATAGACACAATAGCGGCACTACAGCAGCAGCAACAACAACACACAAGCCGCACTGCCACCCCACAACACTTCACCACCACCACCACCTGTCCCGCCGACACCTACCATCATCAACCACAATGGCAAAGAATGCAATAATCCACGCACGCCACTAACCTCACCGCCGCAACCACACACAGACACACATACACAGACACACAGACACACACACAGACACACACACACAGACACACACAGACACACACACACAGACACACACACAGACACACACACAGACACGTACACACAGAGACACACACAGACACACACACACACATACACACACAAATACACACACACAGACACACACACAAAGACACACACATAGACACACAAACAAAGACAAAGATCCCCCGTATAGCCTGTAACAGACTGTTGGGGCAAGTGCTGTTAGCGAGTAGCAACTATAAAGGCCGGCACGGTACACGAGGGGATGGGTGGCCAGCACCACTCCCGGCCGCTTTTGTCTCCCCAGTGGCGATGCTTTGCATACTGCCCCAGGTACTCATTTGAGGCTGAGTCAACCTAATCGCATACCCGATTAGCACGGTTGGCTACGCACGGTGCTAACTAAGTCCGACATACACACATGCATCGGGAGGCTCAGGAGGGACTCAGATAGTCGTCACTCGTGTTAGCCGTAAGCGGGAATCGAACTCAGCTCGCTGGATACGTAGCGCGGCGAGCTAACCGCTACACCCCCGCCACCCTCCCCAACACACACCCACACACACACCACCCACCACCACCACCCTCCCCAACACACACCCACACACACCCCACACACCCACCACCCATACCACCCTCCCCAACACACACCCACCACCCTCACCACCCTCCCCAACACACATACACACCCCACCACTCTCCCCAACACACACACACTCCCCACTCTCACCACCCTCCCCAACACACTCACACTCACACACACACCCCACCACCCTCCCCAACACACTCACACACACACCCCACCACCCTCCCCAACACACACACACACCACCCTCCCCAACACACACCCACACACACCCCACCACCCTCCCCAACACACTCACACACACACCCCACCACCCTCCCCAACACACACACACACCACCCTCCCCAACACACACCCACACACACACACCCCACCACCCTCCCCAACACACACACACTCACACCCCCCACCCTCACCACTCTCCCCAACACATACACACACCCACACACACCCCACCACTCTCCCCACTCCCCGCTAAGTTCTCTCACCTCTGCGCGTCCGCGTTGACGGCTCCTCAAGGCGAGGGGGGGGGGCTGGGGGGAGGGGGCGGGGTGGGGGGGGGCCGGTGGGGGGGAGTAGACTTCTTGGAGTTCCAAGAGATTCCAAGAAGTCCCGAGAGCCTCTCGCAGTTCCGAAGTTGCAAGCGGCTCTGGTTGGCGTAGAAGTTCCAAGAAGTCCCAGAGGCGATCTACAGCTTGCAGGAGGAGCGGTTCTCCAAGTCCGAAGACTTCCAATAGATTCCAAAATGGGTCCTGGGAGACCTGAGATTTCAATCGCTTCCAGGCGGTTGTAGAAGTTCCAAATAGTTCCACGGGGTTTGCGGAGGAAACCAACGAGTCCCAAGTTGCAAACAAAAATCGAGGAGTTCCAAGGGGTCCCAAGGGGTTCCAGAGGGGATCAAGGGGATCTGGACATTCCAACGATCCCAATCAGTCCCAGCGCGGGAGTTGCGAGCAGTTCTACAACAGCGGTTCTAAGACGAGGGGGGGGGAGGGTTGGTGGGGTCCTAGAAGTTCTCAGGGTTCCCGAGAAGTTCCAAGAGGACCTCCCCGAGCTGTGCGCCGTCCCCCCAATCCCCTGATCCCCCGATCCCCTGATCCTCCAATCCCCAATCCCCTATCCCCCGCTCCCCGCTCCCCGGGTCGCGAGTCGCCGCCTCTGAGCTCCGCTGCGCCGCCTCTCCCAGCGGCAGCCGAGGAGGCGACGCGCCCCGCTGCCGCACGGGCGCGCAGCGAGCGCGCTCCCTCTCCCTCCTCCTCCTCTTTGTCCTCCTCCTCGTCTACTTGTTGTGTCCTCCTGCTGCTGTTGTTGTTGTTGTTCTCCTCTCTCCCCTCCTCTTCTTGGGGTCCTCCTCCTTTTCAACTTCTGTCCCCCTCCCCCTCCCCTGTGTGTTATCAACCCTCCTCGTTACCTCCTCCTCCTGCTCGTTACCTCCTCCTCTTCGTTACCTCCTGCTCCTCCTGCTGCTCCTCCTCGTTACCTCCTGCTCCTCCTGCTGCTCCTCGTTACCTCCTCCTCTGACGATCTCCCCCCTTCTTGACCTCTTCTTCCTCTTATCCTCTTACCCCCTCCCTTCTTCTCCGTCGCTACATGTTCACACTAAGCAACAACAACAGCAGCAGCAACAACAATAATAATAGGAGCAGTAACGATGTATAAATAACAACAACAGCAGCGATGTAACGCACCGCTCCTCTGCGTACTCTCTCTCTCTCTCTCTTGGTGGCGAGCGAGCGGATCGGAGGAGCTCTCTCCACGTCGCGGCGTCTCCCTCCTCCTCCCCTCTCTCCTCTCTCTTCTTTCCGCGCCCGCGACCACGGGGAAACGAGAAACGAATATAAAAAAAATAAGAACAAGGAGAAATGCGAGCTTGGTCGTAGGAGGCACGCATGACAGATTATGCCGGAGAGAAACAACACATCATTATCCCTGGGCCAGGCGGGGCGACCGCCCGAGACGAGAGTAATGGGAACTTCACGGTCGGGGGGGCCGGGCGGATTCGCTCGGTCGGTCGACGGTGACTCGGCGGACGGAGGCCGAGGAGACGCTCGCAAATAATTGCCAGCGGCGATAGTGAAATTGTTGTGCGTGAAAAGAGCTGCGCGCCGCGAGAGAGAGAGGGGGGAGAATCCCCCCCCTTTCAAAACGAAGGTGGCGGAGGGGGGGGGTTCTGGTGGTGGTGCTGGTGGTGGTGCTGGTGCTGGTGGTCGTGGTGCCGCTGATCGTGGTGATGGCTAGACACACAGATTGTGTAACCCGCTCCCAACGAAATGGAGCTGTGCAGTGGTGGAGGTGGTGATGATGCTGGTGGTGATAGAATTGGTGGTGGAGGGAGGTGAGTGAGTGGGTGGTGGTGGTAGAAGGTGAGTGAGTGGGTGGTGGTGATGGAGGTGAGTGGGTGGTGGTGGCGATGGAGGTGAGTGAGTGGGTGGTGATAAAATTGGTGGTGGAGGGAGGTGAGTGAGTGGGTAGTGGTAGAAGGTGAGTGAGTGGGTGGTGGTGGTGATGGCGGTGGTGGTGGTAGAGGGAGGTGAGTGAGTGGGTGGTGGTGGCGATGGAGGTGGTGATAGAGTTGGTGGTGGAGGGAGGTGAGTGGGTGGTGGTGGAAGGAGGTGAGTGAGTAAGTGGGTGGTGGTGATGAGGTGGTGATGGTGGTGGAGGGAGGTGGGTGAGTGGGTGACGGTAGTGGTGATGGAGGTGGTGGTGGTGGTGGTGATGGTGGAGGGAGGTGAGAGAGTGGGTGGGTGACGGTGATGGTGATGGAGGTGGTGGTGGGGATGGTGGTGGTGACGGTGGTGGTGGTGATGCCGTGGGGAGAGAGGTTAGTGAGTGAGTGGTGGTGATGGAGGTGGTGATGGTGGTGGTGACGGTGGTGGTGGTGGTGGTGATGCCGTGGGGAGAGAGGTGAGTGGGTGGGTCGTGGTGACGGTGGTGGTGGTGATGGTGGTGGTGACGGTGGTGACGGTGGTGGTGGTGATGTCGTGGGGAGAGACAGCAGCAATTTCGTTCCCGCACACCAAACACAGGCGAGTTGTGTTCTTATTTGCTGCAAACTTGGCGGCGCCTCGCCAATTAGTTGTGTGCTATTAAGCTATCTTACAGATGGAATGCGCTTTTGTCATTGCTGCCATCGATCGCAGTGACCTGGAAAGCGATATAAATAGATTTATAGCGGCGGTGGCCGAGAAGCGAGGAGCGAACGGGACTCGGGAAGAGCGCAGCGCAAGGCGCGCGCGCACGCGTGTGAATGTGCGACTGTGAATGTGAGACTGTCACTGTGTGTGCGACCGGGTGGGTGCGTGCGGACGCGTGACTGTGTCTGTGACTGTGCCTGTGACTGTGCCTGTGTCTGTGACTGTGTCTGTGACTGTGTCTGTGACTGTGCCTGTGACTGTGTCTGTGACTGTGCCTGTGACTGTGCCTGTGCCTGTGACTGTGTCTGTGACTGTGTCTGTGACTGTGTCTGTGACTGTGACTGTGTCTGTGACTGTGTCTGTGACTGTGTCTGTGACTGTGTCTGTGACTGTGACTGTGCCTGTGACTGTGTCTGTGACTGTGTTTGTGACTGTGACTGTGTCTGTAACTGTGTCTGTGACTGTGTCTGTGACTGTGCCTGTGACTGTGACTGTGTCTGTAACTGTGTCTGTGACTGTGACTGTGTCTGTGACTGTGCCTGTGACTGTGTCTGTGACTGTGTCTGTGACTGTGACTGTGTCTGTGACTGTGTCTGTGTCTGTGACTGTGACTGTGTCTGTGACTGTGTCTGTGACTGTGACTGTGTCTGTGACTGTGACTGTGTCTGTGACTGTGTCTGTGACTGTGTCTGTGACTGTGACTGTGCCTGTGACTGTGTCTGTGACTGTGTCTGTGACTGTGACTGTGTCTGTAACTGTGTCTGTGACTGTGTCTGTGACTGTGCCTGTGACTGTGACTGTGTCTGTAACTGTGTCTGTGACTGTGACTGTGTCTGTGACTGTGCCTGTGACTGTGTCTGTGACTGTGTCTGTGACTGTGACTGTGTCTGTGACTGTGTCTGTGTCTGTGACTGTGACTGTGTCTGTGACTGTGTCTGTGACTGTGACTGTGTCTGTGACTGTGTCTGTGACTGTGTCTGTGTCTGTGACTGTGTCTGTGACTGTGCGTGCGCGTGTAGGAGGGATGTGTTGCGATAGGTGGGTGAGTGTGCGGGCGCGTGGAGCGGTGGTGCAGCGGTTAGCGCGACGCTGCGCTACGAACCCGGCGGCCGGGATTCGAATCCCGCCACCAACACCACCAGTGACAATTATCTGGAACGGTTCTGGGTCTCGCCTAGGTCGACTCAGCCTCAAATGCGTACCTGGTGTGTAAACATCGCCACTGGGGAGACAAAGGTGGCCGTGCATATTTCTGGCCCCCCTCCCCTTGTGTGCCGTGCCGGCCTTCATAGGTGCTCGCTAACAGCACTTGCCCCTATAGTCTGTTAAGGATATACGGGGTATCTTTGTCTTTTTGAGTGTGTATGTGACTGCCTGCGTGTGTGAGCGAGCGAGTGTGTGACTATGTGTGTGTGACTGCGTGTGTGTGACTGTGTGTGTGAGCGAGCGAGCGAGTGTGTGACTGCGTGTGTGTGTGACTGCGTGTGTGAGCGAGTGAGTGTGTGACTGCGTGTGTGAGTGTCTGTGTGTGCGGCCGGGCATGGCATCGACCACACCATTAACACCACCACTCGTGCGACGTAATGGCCTTCACAGGTGCTCGCGAATAACGACACTTGTCCCAACATTCTATGAGGCTATGTAGGGAATCTTTGTTTTTGTATGACTTTGTTTGCATGTGCGTGACTGTTTGTGTGCACGTGAGTGTGACTGTGTGTGCCTGTGCATCTGTTAGTGAGTGCGCGCGTGTCTGTGCATGCGCGTGCAAGCTGTGTGCGTGTGTGCGCATCGGTGTGGTGTGTGTGTGTGCATCAGTGTGTGTGTATCAGTGTGTGTGTGTGTGCATCTGTGTGTGTGTCAGTGTGTGTGTGTATCAGTGTGTGTGTGCATCCGTGTGGGTGTGTGCATCAGTGTGTGTGTGTGCATGCGTGTGTGTGTGCATCCGTGTGGGTGTGTGCATCCGTGTGTGTGCATGCGTGTGTGTGTGTGCATGCGTGCGTGGCGTCACCTGGCGATGCGTGACGGTGATGTGATGGGAGGGGAGGGGCTGTGGGGAGGAGAGGGGCGGGGTTGAGGGGAGGGGCTGCGGGGACGAGAGGGGCGGGGCTGACTCGCGCTCCCCTTCCCCGGAGCTTTTTAAACGCTCAGAACAACGGATAGAACATCCCCGTTGTGGCTATTGTTGTTGTGGCTGTTGTTGTTGTGGTTGTTGTTGTTGTGGTTGTTGTTGTGGCTGTTGTTGTTGTGGCTGTTGTTGTTGTTGTGGCTGTTGTTGTTGTTGTGGCTGTTGTTATTCTTGCAGAGGTTTGCGGTTCGAATTTCAGCGGCCGCTCTGGTCAATACTGCGGGCGAATGAACGATAACAAAAACGACGCGCAGTCTCGCTTAGCAGTGGACGCTAAAGATTCCGCGGAAGCCGTTCGCGAGAGGAGGGGGGAGGATCGTTGCGTGCCGGGGTCACGGTCCAGAATTTGCCATGTTTAAAAATTCTAAATGATGACAAAGTAACCATCACCCACTCACTGCGGTCACTGGCGAGACCCTGCTGAGCAAAAGTGTCGAGAGACTCGGCGAGGCTCTCCGTTCCTTGGTGAACCCTGGTAAGAGCAGGGGGGTCGTTGCCCGAAACGTCTGGCCACTTAGACACGCGCTCCTCTTTCGGGTGGAGGTCGTGGGTGTTTCCGCTGCGCGCCGCTTGCCAACTCATTAGCATACATGCAAATGAGATGCAAATTAGATGCTAATGATGCTTGTGTGTGTTTTTTTTGCCACAGGCAGAGAGCAGAACTTTACAAACGAGACGGGGCAGGCGAGGAACACGAGGTCAGAGAGAATCGTCGATTAGACGTTACGTAACACGATTTTTGTTCCTGGGTACTAAGTGTTATTTTTAACTGCTTATGCCTCGAAAGTACAGAAAATTGCCATTATTCCCCACAAACTTTGCTTTGGTGACCAGGACTTTATTGAACGAAAGACACAAACGCACACCACGTTTAAACATTGAAAATAGCTACATTTCAAAATATCACTGTCCTGGTCATAAAAACAAAGTTTGTGGGGAATAATATCCATTTTCTGTACTTTTGAGGCATAAGGAATTCGGAAATAACACTTAGTACCCAGGAACACGTTGTTTGTTACGGTGTTATTATATCGATCACGTGATAAATTGTGGAATCCTTGAGAGCGTGGGGCGATTGTTACCTCATTGGCTACCACTCAGCACCACCCACACAGCACCACCCACACAGCACCACCCACTCAGCACCACCCATACAGCACCACCCACACAGCACCACCCACACAGCACCACCCAGTACAACACCACCACACAGCACCACCCACACAGCACCACCCACACAGCACCACCCACACAGCACCACCCACACAGCACCACACAGCACCACCCACACAGCACCACCCACTCAGCACCACCCAAACAGCACCACCCACACAGCACCACCCACACAGCACCAGCCACACAGCACCACCCACACAGCACCACCCAGTACAACACCACCACACAGCACCACCCACACAGCACCACCCAGTACAACACCACCCACACAGCACCACCCACACAGCACCACCCACACAGCACCACCCACACAGCACCACACAGCACCACCCACACAGCACCACCCATACAGCACCACACAGCACCACCCAGTACAGCACCACCCAGTACAGCACCACCCACACAGCACCACCCACACAGCACCACCCACACAGCACCATCCACACAGCACCACCCACACAGCACCACCCACACAGCACCACCCACACAGCACCACCCACACAGCACCACCCACACAGCACCACCCACACAGCACCACCCACACAGCACCACCCAGTACAGCACCACCCACACAGCACCACCCACACAGCACCATCCACACAGCACCACCCACACAGCAC